ACAATTTTTTTTCTTCCATCCATTTCTGTCAGGTGAACTCACCTTGAGCAGGTGCAGGTTGTCTGAATTTCAATTTTAAGAGCTTTAGAGTGACTGTGAGGGTGGACGTCATGTACCTGAGGTTTTGCAGTGAGCAAAGTTAAAGAAAGTCAGCATCATCTTCTCTATTCTCTTTGGGTAATGTTACCACAAAAATTTACTCTGATAAAGGTATTTAAGTCCCTACGTGATCCAAAAGTGATGAAGTATTTATGAAATAACAAAAGTGACATTTCTCCACAGAAAAGGGCAAAAAGCTATGCAAGCCTGATATCACATATTGGTGATATCACAACTTAAAATGATAAAATTTTAAGAGATCAACCCTCTTGAATTCCTGACATTTTCAACCTTGATTATCAACTGGAGATAATCAGTGTCTGTCACCCTTAAAATGCTCTGTTTGGTTTGGGATGAAGGGGTGGAGTAGTTTTTTGTAAATCTTGCTGGGGTATTGTTGGCTTTTACGGGCAGCCTTAATGGATAACTCAAGGAACTTAAAATTTTTGCACTTCTGAGAAACTAACACTATGGATGTTTTGAACTAATGCCTGGGATGTCATTAAAATGTCACTCATGTTACAAACCGAACCTCAAATCCTGCACGGCAGCATATTTTGCAGGGCCTTTCTACTCTTGCAGCCATTAACTGTCTGTCACTTACCACAAAGCTGAAAAACATAATTGAAAAAAACATAAAAAGAGACATTTCTTGTATAACAGGTACTCTAGCAGGTAACAACCTTTCACTTTCAGTTTACTGTATGAGAAGGATGACTTTATATTATTTTGTTAGGGGTTAACTGATGTGCCCCCTGGAAAGATGAACTTCCATTGCTAAGCTCAGCCGAATGTCCTTGTTCACAAAAGAGCCAGAATTGCCACGCTGACTCTCTTGGAGCCAGGCAAAGGCATAGATCCATGCCAAGGAACAAACCAAAAGCTTAGGTTTTGGATTGGGCACAAACATCCATTAATCAATTGCGTACTACTTGTAATCCTGGCACTAAAACCAGATCGGACCTCTAGGAACATCTTGGTACTCCTGGTTAGCCACTCTGGGTGTGATGTGACCGTAAGAACTTTGGTTAAACCCTGTCATTTTGGGATGTCATTGAAATGTCGCTTCTGTTATTGACTAACAGGATGTATCTAGTATCACTGGGTACAGGACAGTGATTAAATCCTTGATCCTTGATGTTGTACCAATAACAGAAGCTCCTTCTATAGAATGCAGTGAAGAATCTCGTCTGGCAGCGTGAACAGAACCTCAAAACTTGCACAGCAGCATATTTTGTATGCCTAACGTTGCACTTACCAGAAACAGGGACAACACAGCTAATAGGGTGTGTGAAGAAAACTATGTCGAAGGTGCAACTGATTATATACTTCCACTTTATTACTCTCTTAGTATGCCAACTGACATTTTGAAGAAGGTTTAAACGCTAACAGTACCATACAGTACCAACAAATTACTATAACAAGTGTGAGAAGGATGACTTCATATTATTTTGTTAGAGGTTAAGGTCAGAAAGTCAGTATTGCAAAGGGGTAAAGTAGACATAGTGACACCATTAACTTTAAATGGACAACGTCTCTGTATTTCTGCCCATTGTGAGCTGCCTCTACAGGCAACCACATTCCCTCTGGTGAAACCATGGTATGGGCAGAAGCGATCCTGGCTGGTAGCATCGCAGGACTGATTTCCCACTCCTGTCGCTAACCAGAACACGCATCAAACTTAATTAGTAAACATAGTAGAACCCCTCAGGTGGCTGAGGTAGACAGGCAGAGCAGTTTTGGTGTTGATTTGAGGCAGACATTTATGGAAATTTGTTTGTTGTGTAAGTGTTTGTTATGTACTCTACAGAAGCCTTGTTGGTCAGAGTTGTCACTTAAAATTAAATGACATTTAATATTTAAATTCACAGAAAAACAATCACCTGGACATAAATCAAACTAATAGGAACAAACTTTAATGACAGAAACAATGTCTCAGGAAAACACATTAGAAGTGCATTTTAATCTTTTTATTTGCCCCATCTGTGAATAGTCTTGAGATGGGGTTTACTACAACCAGCCACTAGGGAGAGCTCTACTTTTTCTTTTTAAACAGTTCACAGTTTTTTTTTCACAGCCACCTCAAGTTAAAAAAAAAGTCTGTAAACGCCCTGCTCTCCTGTCTGTCTGGTAAGTAGTACTTGTCAGACCAAACCAACATTGTTGCTTGATTTACCCCAACAGTGCCCAGACTTAACCAACCTCATTCATCTATAAGAGTATGGACCAAATAAAATTCAGAAAACTCCCACTGCATGTGCATTGTATGTTATATAAAACTGTACATAGATCATACTCTTAATGAAGCTAATACAATGTCTTAGTGTAAAATGACACAAGTCCTTCTAAAGACCAACACAAACAGGACTATAAGTGCTGTTAAACAAAGATGAAGCACTGTGAACAGCCCTTTTCTTATTGCTTTCTATCACCTTAACAACAACAAGTGATAGCAGAAGAGACACAACAATCAAACCAATGATGGTAATTGGCCAAAATACCCCCATATGAAATGCAGAGATTGGATGCAGTGTATTGCTCTCTTTGTCATAAACACAGTTCAGGTTGCTCTTCAGTTTGTAGAGGACTTTACATGTCTCTGCATCAGTCTCAATGTCAGTGACTTTGAAGACCTCATAGGGGGGAATCAGCACCTGGATGTTTTGCTCCAATGCCGAGTAGTGTGTGATGTTTGCACCAAAACATGTGTATACTTCAAAACAGGAAGCATTTCTGGAGGAATTCCACCAGTCAGAACCTAACACTAAGGTGCTGAAGCGTAATAGTTTGCCTGAGTAGTTTGAATTTAAGAGTGTCTCTGATCTGTAGGTTGTACTGAGACATGTAACCTGGCTGTGTCTTAACACCTGAATAGCTTCACTCAAGGTGGAATAAACTGAGTTGGACTCGAATGTCTCCTTCTGCTGTTCTCCAGTCCTGTGTACACACTTACTTTTCTGTGTATTAAGCTGCAGCAGAACACTTGTGTACATGTAAATGGCAATGGAATGATGCTTTTCCATGTAGGTATGTGCAGGGGCTCTGGCTTTTTGTTTCGCGTCACACCAAGCCTGAGTGAAGTTTTTAGTGAAACCCCTTTTCTGCGTGATTTCCTCATCTGTGAAGACGGCAGCTTTGGATGAACAGCCATCACTGATGTTGTCATAAGGGTCATGAGTTGGATCTTGATTTGAATGCTGAAATGACAAGAAACGTGTTCAGTGTTGATCCAGTCGAAACAGTTACACCAATAAGAGAACTGTTGAACTGCAGCGGTTAATCGGTTAAAAAAGATAAATTAATAAAGACTTAGCAACTAAAAATAGCTGCCAATAAAGTAGGCCAAACTCTCTGGGACAGTTTTTATGATTGACATTTTACTCGTTTCTTTGGTAGCAACTTTTAGCATATACAATCAATGAACTTCTTGATAATAGCCTATAAACTAAAAACAAGATTCATATCTAAACTTGTCAGTTCAAGGTGACCTACATTTAGAGTGATGAGATTTTTTTTTCAGTAACACCACAAATACACCCAGCAAGATCTAAATATTTAAACTGCAGAAACAACTTTATTTCACATAAGTACTGGCTGACTATAAACTAGTTTATACTTGGCAACCAACTTGAGAAACAAGCAAATTAGCTTGGCTGGGGAATTAATGAAATTTGGTTTGAGGCTTGTTAGAGCTTGATATGTAACAATTACACAAAATATAATTAAAAGAAGTTATAAAACACAAAATATTACAAGATGCTGGAACTATTTTGCATGGATTGATTTGTTATGAATTGTGGTATCTCTTGCACTGCTATTGATTTATAGTATTAACAAGTGTTGTTGAGGGGTGTTAAAGGGGTTTCCACCAAGCAGGGCAAGGTTTTCAACACAGCTGGGTGTTTCATATGGAAGCTAGGTAATATTAAAAGTCAGATACTTTACCTCTTCTGCAGTATATTGCCATCTGAGTGTTACAAAGATGACAACAATCATGAGCAGTCCCATCAGGAAAAGAAGAGCAGTGATGGCACATACAGATAAAGTTTTTCTCTGACATGCTTTTGTGTCCTGGAGCGGCATTATGCATCTAGAAAAGAGTAAATTTGTGTTTGAACTCAGAGGTTATGACGTTTTCATGACTGAATTTTTTTTTTATTGATCAAAGTCTTTCCTTGAAACACAAGGTAATGTAGGGATACCTGAAACTTGAATCTGATTTTGAATTAGGACTTTAATTTTTAGGCTCTCTGGCCTCCATATCTATCTGAAAAGGAGTAACATGTCATAGATGAACAAAATCCACAAGGCTGGAACTGAGTAAAGCATGAAGCATTTTATCGTCGGTCTGAACTACTACTACTAATACTACTACTACTACTACTACTCATCCCCTTGTAAAATGAACCCACGCCCTTTAAGCTCCAACACAAATGCAGTTAAGGTAAATACATTTAAAGATACATTCTTCCCAGTTGGCAATAAGTTCACAGTCCAAAAAGTGGAGGTAGATAGATTAGTGTAAAACACATGAAATTAAAAAAGACAACTCTAAAAATGTAAAATTGTTTCGGTTACTTACCACATCCTGAGCAATTTATTTATGAAAATAAGCTTTGCAGAGTGAGAAATCTCATATGTTTTATCATGTTAGCATGTACTTCCTGTGTTTTGCAACTCTGCCACTCACCTTTGTTTGTTTTGTCAGTAGTCGGCTTCAGAACAGGAATTACCAGAGTCACTGCATACAATTGTGGAGCCTTCCTCTCAGAGAACAAACAGTACAGAGCAGTTTCTTCTGTTGGGTGTTTTTTCTTGTTTCAGTATTTCCAATCAGCTCTTTTACCTTTGAGTGAAAAGAGCAAAAGAATGCCTGCAATGTGAGGCTTTACCTGTGAGCTCTGCAGTGCATCTGCACAGTCTCCGTGGTGCACTCTGATGGGACTATCATGCTGCTGTTGAAGGCATTTACTCCCAGAAAGGTAAGCTGAAACACAATCTTGGAGTGGGGAACACTTTTCTTTATTGGTTTTAAAATCTACTCTAATTTTAGATACTTTTTCTTCCATGGTAGATATGGAGACAAAAACTGGACCTGTGTTTGGGCTGAAGTCACGATCAAACTGGGTGACCCTTTTTGTGTTGTTAGTAGTGACACTCCTTTTGTATCATGACCCATTAGTACTCCTCTGGTGGCCTCAAAAACCTGCTGAGGTGAGATAAGACAATTTTTCATACAATATAAATATTCAATTTATGAGTAAATTATTTTGGGCAGAGCACTGAAACATTTCACTGTAAAAGTTTAAACCTCTCTTTTACACATTTTGCTGACTATAGCTGTTTCTTTAACTGTCTCTACAGAAAACCAAAGCTTCAATTCTACCTCTGGATATGGCGACGCAGTCCATCGACGACATGTTTGATGGCTGCCGCTCTAAAGCCGCCTCCATAATCGACCTGTTTGGCGTGTATGAGTGGCACTTCAACCGAAAGTTCAGTTTTGCTTGGTCTATAGCTGAAAAGAGTGCAAAGAAACCTGCACACAAACAGCTAAAAGATGACCATGCCATTGCTTTGTACATATTCACAAAAGTAAAGAACATCAGAAGGGAGTTTAATAATGTGGTAAAAACAGGGAAACACAAGTACAGCACTCGTGAATTTAAATTTCACTATTTGTATTTCTACCTGACTCATGCAATCCAAGCTTTGCATCAAAATAACACTCTGTGCAGGACCACCTACCTCAGGACACAAACACACTTTAATGTCCTCGACTCACACATGCGATTTGGTGCTTTCACCTGGGTTGCTACAAGCAAGCAGGCATTCAGCTTTAATGGCAATCTGTCATGTTTTGAGATACACACGTGTTTTGGTGCGAGGATCACTTATTACTCTGCCACAAAACAAAAAGGACAGGTGCTAATTCCTCCCTACGAGGTCTTTCAAATCACTAATATCCTCAGGGATGACCCATGGTGCACTGTGGTTTACAAGCTGCAGAGCACCAAAACACCGATGACAGATTTAAACTGTAAATTAAGGAAGGAGGAATTGGACGAGTATTTCGGAGGAGTTTTAGCAAACTGGCGTTGGAGCAGCAGAGTTTGGATGATGTTAGCATGCGTCATACTGCTGATTGTCATTTCTTTAATTCTTCTTAAATACAGGCAGAAGAGTTTTGTAGTATTAGTGCTGGGAGGTCTGCTGGTGTGGGTGATTATTTTAGTGGTTTTAAGGGTTTTAATGAAAGATTAGTTAATTTGCACACTGAAGAACACAAATTTGTGCGCATTCATCAGGTATTGTGATGTTGAAAGCTATTAGTTAAAGGAACGTCTCTATTGTAAGCTTAGATTTTGGATGTTATAATGTAAACTGGAGCATAATAAAGAACACGATGCTCCAAAATTTAGATTTAAGAGTCAGAAAAGCAGCAACTTGCCAAAAAAATAAACTCAAAACAAGTGTTTACAAATGTTACTGTGATGTGTTAAATGATTAAGTTTCAAATGTTTTTATAGATTTTTTTTATCTTAAATTTTCTATTAAGACTGAAATATCAAGGAAACATGTCATATGTACCTCTGTACTAAAAAGTATCTTTAAGAAAATTATAAAACAAACTGGTCAAGTAAATGGCCTATTTCAAGTATTTTTTTTTTACTATTTAAAGTGTTATTTGTGGTCTTTTAAACTATGATTATAAAGTTTTTAGCCAAAATCACGATACCTGTGTGGTTTTCAAGTGCTTTTCTTCTGCTTTTACAAGCATATTGACACAAACTCTACTGTTTTTGATGTTAAAGGTTTTTATCATTTGTGAATGATCTATCAGTGTTATGCACTTAAATTCAACAGAATGCTATTGATGGGGGATGTTTTGTGCTGTTTTGTCATTTTAAAGAAGAATCTCAAACCCATTTTCAATAAAAAGTCAAATGTTGTGCTCAGCCTCTTTACTGCAAAATGAAGGTTGACCTCTCTGATGATTTGAGTGTTACCAAAACTAAAAGATCACCACTTATTCTGAACCATATAAACTGACAGATGTTTCAAAACTGAAGTATAGCCTGCTGACACCGTCGGGGCACACCTAAGGTTAATATTTGTCTTACAGCAGCCACAGAGTGTCCACTTTGGCAAAAAACCAGGCGCAGATTAGCTGTTTGAAGGTCTAAATCCCACTCTCACTCCACTCAGAGTGTGTCTGTGAAAGTGTGTAGGGCGTGGTTTAAGACGCCTCCTAATGAAGATCCCACCCCTGACTGGAATCGCCTGCAGCTGGTGAGTGAATGCTGTGTCCCAGCTAAGCAACGTCAGTATTGGAGAGTGGTGGTGAGTGAACTAAAAGCCTTTGTTTCTTCCTACAGATGTTAAGAGATTTCTCTGTCTCTAATGCTCTCTCTTTCTCTCCATCATAAGTCTGTAATAAAGACATTTCTCCTTGCCAGGATTAGTATAAGAGCAGAGTCACACACATATAAATACCTCCAGTTGTGCATACTGAAAAGATGTGTTTGTGTATTTAGGGTTCATTGTTGGTGAGAGACAGCAATGATGGCAGCATGGGCAACATTGTTAATGACTTTTGGAGCCACCATAGGATTTTTAAAGGTAGGCTGATCCAACAACAAGGTGACAACTTACTAAGGTGTGAATCTCAGACACATTTTTTATATAACTATATGTATTTTTCTTTTACAGATCTCTGCAGCACAGGGGTTGAACGTTGAAGTTCCTCTAGATATGGCTCCAAATGCAGTTGATGATATGTACCATGGCTGCAAAGATAAGATGGAGTACAGAGTGAAGAAGGAGTACCTGATAAATGAGAGGAACAAAGACAAAAACTTTACCTTAGCCTGGAGTGAAGCAGAAAAATATTACAACAAAAAATGGAAGCGTCACAAAGGAAAAAGGCCTTCCTCTTCTCTGGGGAAAGAGCAAATCATGGCCATTTATGTCTACAGCCTCAACAAACCAAAAATCTACCTTGATTTTAATGATGCTGTGAGAACCCAGAAATCCAAATACAAGACCACATTCAGGTATCACTCGATGCACTTTTTCCTGACTGATGCGCTTCAAACCCTTAACGCTCGAAAACCAGAAGACGAGAGGTGTGTGACAGGCTACAGGAGAGTCAACAGCTACTTCAGCCAAGATGTCCTCAACAAGGCTGTTCGATTTGGCTCTTTCACCTCCAGCTCGATGGGTTGGTACCCCAGCTCGGACAGATTTGGTGACAAGTCATGCTTTGAGATTGTCACCTGCTTTGGAGCAGACGTCTCACTTTACTCAAAGCTTGGGGAGGCAGAGAGAGAAGCCCTGATTCCCCCCTATGAGGTCTTTAAAGTTACAAGGGTTGAGAGGAGAGTGGACCAGAAGAGTCTTCCATGTGAGGTGGTCTACAAACTGAAAAGCATGGGGAAAACTCTGTCCAGTTTGAATTGTGCTCTTTTTTTAAATAAGCCTGTTACCATTCCCAACATATAAACTCCTGGAGAAAACCTCAATGAAGCTATGACTCTGTTTTGGATTGAATCAATTGTACTGTGAAAAGACAGAACAGTGTCTCATTAACCTTCCTCCTGAGTTAGCTTTTACTACGCAGCCACCATGTTAAGGGTCGGTTTCGACCTGTGTCTTAAATCGGCTGTAAATTATACTAGAAACATTTCTCTATCATCCAATTTGGTTGTCATCTCTAGGTTCACTTGTTAGGCTTCATTATCCATGAAAACATTGCTTATAATATTTTTCGTTGTGAGCCTCTGGGCCTTTCTTTGTTGGTATATCCCTCATACAGAGATCTATACTGAATTGATCTCACATGTCTGGACATGCCCGACATTGTTTTTTGTGCAGGGAAATCTAGGCAAAATGATAATTTCCTAAATCTCATGATTGGAGGAGGATCTGACTGTCAGTGTGTTGCCTGGCAGTGCACATATGATTTAAGTTTTTGCCTTGATTATTGGATATTGATCTAACCGGGTCAACAGCGACCCTAACACGACAAGTGCCATAATTTTAATAAGAGCATTTTATAATTTAGTCAATTTAAATTTTTTTATTAAAATGTTAATGCAAAAAAACTAATCTAAATGCTTCTTTTAAGCATGTAAAAACAAAAACAGGTTGGTGCAGACCCTAACACAGGAGGAGGGTTAAAACTATCACTTCAAAAATGTATGAAAACTCAAGTTTTGAGTAGCACTTGTGGTGCCCTAGTCGTTTGAGCTGCTAATAATTTGCAAAGGAAAATTGTCAGCTGTTGTTTCTAAAGGGAAAAAACCCTGCTGAAGGCTTGATGAGCTGCCCAGCAATTCTTATTTTCACCACAGGGTGTCAGTAGTAGTATTATACGGCAGGCTGGTGCTACACTACTGATTCTGAAAGAGGTGCCCCCCCTCAAAGTATAAATCAGTTTCTAATGATTGTACAAAACTGTCCGAGCATGATGATTAGGGGTGAGCATGATGGTGGAAAGAGTTTCCTGCCCCATGTATCTGTGATCTTTCAGATTCAACTGTGAAGTGAAAAGTGGCTGAATGCTTATGTTAGCTGTGCTTTGATGTCAGCTTATAGGCTGACCAAAGTTTTTAACTTTGAATACACGCCAATCTCTCTCTGGTTCTCTATTACCTTCAGTATTGTCTGTTTGGCTGCTTATCCATCAGGGAGCTGTGAAATGACCGGAAATCCGTCATGTAAAAAAAATCATAATAATAGTAATAATTAAAAAAATCCTAGTTAGTTAGATCTGAATATGACCGGTAGAGGACAGCACTGCGCTGGATAGCGTACATCCTGCCGGAGAAGAAGAAGAAGATGAAGCGGAAGAAGGAAAAAGATGGATCAGCGAGCGGCGAACGGGAAATTTCAAATGATGGATGCCAGGTACATCAATCCAGGAGAAGAAACGGCGAAGCTGGGCTTGGGCGGAAGAGGCTGGAAAAGATGGAAAGCCTCGTGGAGCCAGGTGCTTGTTTTCGTGTGTCGTGTGCCGGAAAGCTTATAAATTGCAGCAGTGGGAAAAAGTTCGGTAAAGTTAGAAAGATAAGATCCTCAGAACTCAATGTGACAAACATGGTTAAATAAAGGTTAAATAATTTTTTTTAAAATAAGTTATTTGCAGATTCGGACTTCCGGGATCAATAATTCTGAGACGAAACGTTGTCTAAACACAAATGATGCCTCTTTCATGTCGTAATAGCATAGACTACAAGCTACAAGAATCAAAAACCGATTTGTTTTATAAAAACAAGCCGTTCTTCGAGCTGGTTGAATAATGCTGATCTCTATGCGCAGCCGGTAGCTCGGCGAGTGCGCAGGGATCGTCTGCAAGTTACGATACAAGAGCGAGACGCTGCAAACGAAAATCAATAGCTCCACTATTTTACAGTACAGAGGCTCCAAAATCACCCCACACACCAAGGGACTCTTAATACTACAACAGTTGTTTTAGGAAAAATGTGTCTTTTTATGATTTTGGTAAATTTTATTTTATTTTTACTGTCATATAGTGTGTGCCCCCCACCCCATTAAAAACTTTTCAGGCACAGGATTTTTTCTGCCTCAAGCCCCGTTAAATGTTTAACATGTAATGGGCTGAGCATGTGCTAGAAACAACAGAAATACAAATGCAGCATTGAAGCGTTAATTCAAGGTTTTTTACACTTTTTTATTGTCAATTTCTGCCATATGTGAGTACACATATAGGAAATGAATGAGACATTTATCTCCAACACACAGTGCTAAAGTGTCTAGTAGATATTAAAAGACACACACAAAAAAAAAAAAGAACTAGAGGAGAATAATACAGTGGATGAAACAGTGATGTTTCTGTATTCTTAAAAAAAATGATCTGTTACACAAGAAAACAATTTTAGAGAGACTATATTTAAGCACAGATCCATGTGATCATTGTGACAATTAGACCTTCCCCTTCAAGGACAGTTTCCCAGACCTGTGGAGGTAGAGGAGTGGCTGAATGAACCCAGTTATAGATGCCAAGTTTATAAAAATTGTGAAGATATGATCAAACTGTTTTTCATTGAGACAACATTGCAGAGGAATTACAACCAAGTACAAAACAAAATTAGTGGTCATGCAAACCATAACCAGTGAGATAATGTTAAAGGCCTTTCTTTTCATTGTATTGCTCTTCTCCTTCCCTCTTTCCTTGTCTCCTGGACCGGGGCGTTTCAGACCCCTGAGAACGGAGAGGCAGCAGAAAAGCATCACAGAGACTAACCCCACACTTTGTATGAAATATGCATACAAATACAAATTATATAGGAAAGTGAGGAGGCGGTAAGTGCAAGAAAGGAGGATAATCAGCCAGTTTACACAACAACAGGCCAGCCTGTATCTCAAGGGTTTCATTCGCAGAAATGTCACAGGGTGGACAACCCCTGCGTAGCATTCGATGCAGATGCAGCATTGAAAGAGAGGGCGAGCTGTAAAGACAAGCCCAAGGGAAAACATATAGGCCTGCATACTTAAAATTGATTGCAGTTGTTGAAAGAGCAGACTCCAGACACCAGATAGAGAGAAAAAAGTCTCAGATATAGCCAGGTTGAGATAAAAGAAATCTGAGGCTATAGACTCTTTGGAGCCTCTCAGAATCAGCCATATGACATAAGTGTTAAAAGGAAAACTGACCATCAGTTCGATTACCGCTATAGCTAATAAAAAACTGTATTCCCCTGGAGAAGACTGGATTGAAGATGCATTGGTGATGTTCATTTTGTGACTGTAAAGAAGAAGAAAATACAGGATTAGAAGATTAGACATGGAGTATACAGTGATATTATCCATTCAACTCTTTTGGCTAAACCTTCATTCATGTTTAAAAAGGCCAAAAACATACAACAATCACCTTGGTGCCAATGAGCAGGAACACAAAACAAAAAAAATCCCACAGATTGAAAGTTACACTGTCTTTAATTCAAAGATGATCTTCTTGAGTTCTGGTCATGCAGCATTTGAGGACAGATTTGAAGTGATCCATATTAGACTCTGCAGTCTCTTATTGCTCAGTGCACTGTTGGCATAAGCAAATACAAAAATAACAATCAGTTATTGATTATGACACATGGAAATTTACGTCTTCGTCACACTCCTGCCTTCAGTGAGTGTGGACTTTTTTTTTTTTGGTGTGTTTGTGTTGAATTTGAATTTGTTTTGTCTTGTATTTATTGCTCCTCATATTGTTTTCCTAGCGATCAGAGCTACTCACCTGTGTGTTTCTAAGCTATCGTGCTGCTAAGTACACTGCTGAGGCACTTGATGATCAGCTGGTAATTTAAGTTTAGAGCCAATAGCAGGTTGCTCGTTTGTCTACCTAAACAGAGAAGTTTATTCTGTCTCCTCATTTTGATGAAACATTAAACACTCCTGGAGACCAGTGTGTTGCATGACCTCCTCCACTGACAACACTCCGTAAATGTTTCATAACTGAAGGGCCAGTTTCTGAAGTTGCTGTCCAATTCTAGCCAAATATTGGACTTCAGGTCCTCAATATTATAAAGTCTATTAGTGACGTGTTTCATGTGTCCTGCTGTATGTAAGTTGTTGTGGTGGCGGTTCAGCAGTTACAAAAAGAAAAATTAAATTAGCTTTCTCCGAGGTACACTTGAACACAACACTCCCCTATCTCCCTCTGTTGCTCCTGCCTAGTTCCTGCTACAGTTGGTGAGTCTCACTCACTTCTCATTGCTGCCAGCCTAACGCTGTGCTGCTGACTCCTCAACTGACCTAAGAAGCAAACAAATCACTTGAGGAAGTGATTCTGTTCAGTACGTTCACTTAATAGATTTGTTCTTTTGAGTGAATCTTTCGCGAACAACACAACACAACATTCATATCATCCTGCATAGGTTCATGCAACTTCTTACACTTTTGTGTTGCTCAGCCTGGTTTGTATTGTTTTCAATGCAGCACATACTCGCATATTACTTACTGCTCATAAATTCACATCATAGTTTGCAACAGATGTAAATTTGCATGTGCCTCCACAGCTGGGCTTCTTCTCTGTTACGTGACAATATGTAAAGCAGTGTTGTTGTTTCCCATCATTTCTCTTGCAAATTATGTGAGTTGAGGTCAGCTGTAAATATAGTAAAGAAAAACAAATGCAAAAGACAACACATCCAGGTCAAAAGGTTTTAATGTGGAATAAAATGAATATTTTCATGTATGATCACCAGCTTGTCTTAAAAGTGATTTATTCTTTGGTAGTTATAAAGGGTGAAACTCTCCACACCATCAGTCAAAATGTCTATTCAAGTGATTTATGCTAAGTGTATGTAACAAAAGTGTCTCTATCCTGATCCTGAAACTAAAGTCCATCAGAAGAGGTAAGGACTTTCATCCTACAGGTGGGAGAATTTTCATTTTTATACAACATTTATTGGTGCAACAAGATATTAACTAGTTTAAATGGTAAAGAAAGTCTGTTAGCATCCATCTTCATGTCAGTACAACAATTGTTTTAGATTAAAAACCTGCTATTTTATTGTTGTAACCATTGAAATGTAGCCTCATAATCAGTATTTGTGAGTCATGCCATTTAATCAGTTTTTACAGTCTTTGCGCAAGGGGAGACCGGGGAATGGTTGTAACTCTTGTTGCTTCAGCATTGGTAATTCACTGAGTCTTTAAGGAAGAATTTTCAAACTTTTACACAAAGTTCCCACAGCTTCCAAAGAAAGTAACAGTATAAGAACAGAAAGAAATATAGTCTTGATTCAAGTATTTTTTCTCATATCTGAATTTTTTTTTTCTAGATGCAGCCTCCAAAATGACCACAGGAAATTGAGTAGGGAGCGAGTAACCTCTGAAAAGACCATTCGACTCCTGTGTCATCCCTGATTGGTGAAAATTGTGGTGTTTTAACTCTCCCTGTGTTACAACCATACCCAGTCTCCTGCACAGCACATGCACACTCAACAAAAGCTTGTTCAGCGAGCAGCACAGTGTTGATTAAGTTTGTTTGTTGCAGGTCAAAATGGAAAAGGAACCCATGAACCATACAGCCATAACAGCGCTGCAGAAATCCCCTAATGGAAAGACCTTGCACAGTGAGTGATTCTGTCAAAGGACTCACGTTCAGTTTCAATCTTCTCTTTGGTCTCCCCACCAACAGCTACATCTTGTGGCTTATACTGAGTGGAGGACAAAAGAAAATAGCCTCTGATTTTGTCCCTCTCAACCAGATTCTGGGTGTGATTCTTCACTGTCTCTCAGGCATTTGGTATTTCCTGGACTGTTACCTTCCACACATTCCTATGCACCTCACATACACATATGAACAAAAAAAAGATTCTGCTGGACATGATTACAAAAGAGGTTAAGTGCAGGTGGTTGATGCAATTTGCAGTTTTAACAGGCTTTTCAGAGGTTAATGGTCACAAATGTTCTATTCTCAAAAAAAAAAAAAAAAATGAAGAAGAAAACAATTTTAGAGAGACTATATTTAAGCACAGATCCATGTGATCATTGTGACAATTAGACCTTCCCCTTCAAGGACAGTTTCCCAGACCTGTGGAGGTAGAGGAGTGGCTGAATGAACCCAGTTATAGATGCTAAACCTGAAAAAATTGTGAAGATATCCTGAAACTCTTTTTGATTGAGACAACATTGCAGAGGAATTACAACCAAGTACAAAACAAAATTGGTGGTCATGCAAACCATAACCAATGAGATAATGTTAAAGGCCTTTCTTTTCATTGTATTGCTCTTCTCCTTCCCTCTTTCCTTGTCTCCTGGACTGGGGCGTTTCAGACCCCTGAGAACGGAGAGGCAGCAGAAAAGCATCACAGAGACTAACCCCACACTTTGTATGAAATATGCATACGAATACAAATAATTTAGGAAAGTGAAGAGGTGGTAAGTGCAAGAAAGGAGGGTAATCAGCCAGTTTACACAACAACAGGCCAGCCTGTATCTCAAGGGTTTCATTCGCAGAAACGTCACAGGGTGGACAACCCCTGCATAGCATTCGACACAGATGCAGCACTGAAAAAGAGGGCGAGCTGTATAGAAAAGCCCAAGGGAAAACATATAGGCCTCCAAACTTAAAATTGATTGCAGTTGTTGAAAGAGCAGACTCCAGACATGAGATAGAGAGAAAAAAGTCTCAGATATAGCCAGGTTGAGATAAAAGAAATCTGAGGCTATAGACTCTTTGGAGCCTCTCAGAATCAGCCACATGACATAAGTGTTTAAAGGAAAACTGACCATCAGTTCGATCGCCGCTATAGGTATTAAGTAAACAAAGTCCTCCAAAGCAAAATGGCTTGAAGATACATTGGTGATGTTCATTTTGTGACTGTAAAGAAGAAGAAAATACAGGATTAGAAGATTAGACATGGAGTATACAGTGATATTATCCATTCAACTCTTTTAGCTAAACCTTCATTCATGTTTTAAAGGCCAAAAACATACAACAATCACCTTGGTGCCAATGAGCACGAAAACAAAACTAAGAAAATCCCACAGATTGAAAGTTACACTGTCTTTAATTCAAAGATGATCTTCTTGAGTTCTGGTCATGCAGCATTTGAGGACAGATTTGAAGTGATCCATATTAGACTCTGCAGTCTCTTATTGCTCAGTGCACTGTTGGCATAAGCAAATACAAAAATAACAATCAGTTGTCAGGCTGACACATGGAAATTTACGTCTTTGTCACACTCCTGCCTTCAGTGAGTGTGGACTTTTTCTTTTTTTTTTTGGTGTGTTTGTTGAATGCCTGTTTTGTCTTGTATTTATTGCTCCTCATATTGTTTTCCTAGCGATCAGAGCTACTCACCCGCGTGTTTTTAAGCTATCGTGCTGCTAAGTGCACTGCTGAGGCACTTGATGATCAGCTGGTAATTTAAGTTTAGAGCCTATAGCAGGTTGCTCGTTTGTCTACCTAAACAGAGAAGTTTATTCTGTCTCCTCATTTTGATGAAACATTAAACACTCCTGGAGACCAGTGTGTTGCATGACCTCCTCCACTGACAACACTCCGTAAATGTTTCATAACTGAAGGGCCAGTTTCTGAAGTTGCTGTCCAATTTTAGCCAAATATTGGACTTCAGGTGCTCAACATTATAAAGTCTATTAGTGACGTGTTTCATGTGTCCTGCTGTATGTAAGTTGTTGTGGTGGCGGTTCAGCAGTTACAAAAAGAAAAATTAAATTAGCTTTCTCCGAGGTACACTTGAACACAACACTCCCCTATCTCCCTCTGTTGCTCCTGCCTAGTTCCTGCTACAGTTGGTGAGTCTCACTCACTTCTCATTGCTGCCAGCCTAACGCTGTGCTGCTGACTCCTCAACTGACCTAAGAAGCAAACAAATCACTTGAGGAAGTGATTCTGTTCAGTACGTTCACTTAATAGATTCGTCCTTTTGAGTGAATCTTTCGCAAACAACACAACACAACATTCATATCATCCTACATAGGTTCATGCAACTTTTTACACTTTTGTGTTGCTCAGCCTGTTGTATATTGTTTTTAATGCAGCACATACTCACATATTACTTACTGCTCATAAATTCACATCATAGTTTGCAACAGATGTAAATTTGCATGTGCCTCCACAGCTGGGCTTCTTCTCTGTTACGTGACAATATGTAAAGCAGTGTTGTTGTTTCCAATCATTTCTCTTGCAAATTATGTGAGTTGAGGTCAGCTGTGAATATAGTAAATAAAAATGAATGCTAAAGACAACACATCCAGGTCAAAAGGTTTTAATGTGGAATAAAATGAATATTTTCATGTATGATCGTTAGCTTGTCTTAAAAGTGATTTATTCTTTGGTGGTTATAAAGGTTGAATTTCTCCACACCATCAGTCAAAATGTCTATTCAAATGATTTATGCCAAGTGTATGTAATAAAAGTGTTTCTATCCTGATCCTAAAACTAAAGTCCATCAGAAGAGGTAAGGACTTACACCCTACAGGAGGGAGAATTTTCATTTTCTACAACATATCTCAAGATATTTTTCAGTTTAAATGGTAAAAAAAGTCTGTTAGCACTCGTCTTCATGTCAGTACAACAATTATTTTAGATTAAAAACCTGCTATTTTATTGTTGTAACCATTGAAGTGTAGCCTCATAACCAGTTTTTACAGTCATTGGACAAGGGGAGACCGGGGAATGGTTGTAACACTTGTTGCTTCAGCATTGGTAATTCACTGAGTCTTTGAGAAGAGTTTTCAAACTGTTACAAAGTTCCCACATTTGTTTACTGCCAAAGAAAGTAACAGTATAAGAACAGAAATAAATATAGTCTTGATTCAAGTATTTTTTCTCATATCTGAATCTTTTTTTCTTTCTAGATGCAGCCTCCAAAATGACCACGGGAAATTGAGTAGGGAGCGAGTAACCTCTGAAAAGACCGTTTGACTCCTGTGTCATCCCTGATTGGTGAAAATTGTGGTGTTTTAACTCTCTCTGTGTTACAACCATACTCAGTCTTCTGTACAGCACACTCAACAAAAGCTTGTTCAGCGAGCAGCACAGTGTTGATTAAGTTTGTTTGTTGCAGGTCAAAATGGAAAAGGAACCCATGAACCATACAGCCATAACAGCGCTGCAGAAATCCCCTAATGGAAAGACCTTGCACAGTGAGTGATTCTGTCAAAGGACTCACGTTCAGTTTCAATCTTCTCTTTGGTCTCCCCACCAACAGCTACATCTTGTGGCTTATACTGAGTGGAGGACAAAAGAAAATAGCCTCTGATTTTGTCCCTCTCAACCAGATTCTGGGTGTGATTCTTCACTGTCTCTCAGGCATTTGGTATTTCCTGGACTGTTACCTTCCACACATTCCTATGCACCTCACATACACATATGAACAAAAAAATGATTCTACTGGACATGATTACAAAAGAGGTTAAGTGCAGGTGGTTGATGCAATTTGCAGTTTTAACAGGCTTTTCAGAGGTTAATGGTCACAAATGTTCTATTCTCAAAAAAAAAAAAAAAAATGAAGAAGAAAACAATTTTAGAGAGACTATATTTAAGCACAGATCCATGTGATCATTGTAACAATTAGACCTTCCCCTTCAAGGACAGTTTCCCAGACCTGTGGAGGTAGAGGAGTGGCTGAATGAACCCAGTTATAGATGCTAAACCTGAAAAAATTGTGAAGATATCCTGAAACTCTTTTTGATTGAGACAACATTGCAGAGGAATTACAACCAAGTACAAAACAAAATTAGTGGTCATGCAAACCATAACCAGTGAGATAATGTTAAAGGCCTTTCTTTTCATTGTATTGCTTTTCTCCTTCCCTCTTTCCTTGTCTCCTGGACCGGGGCGTTTCAGACCCCTGAGAACGGAGAGGCAGCAGAAAAGCATCACAGAGACTAACCCCACACTTTGTATGAAATATGCATACAAATACAAATTATATAGGAAAGTGAGGAGGCGGTAAGTGCAAGAAAGGAGGGTAATCAGCCAGTTTACACAACAACAGGCCAGCCTGTATCTCAAGGGTTTCATTCGCAGAAATGTCACAGGGTGGACAACCCCTGCATAGCATTCGACACAGATGCAGCACTGAAAAAGAGGGCGAGCTGTATAGACAAGCCCAAGGGAAAACATATAGGCCTCCAAACTTAAAAATGATTGCAGTTGTTGAAAGAGCAGACTCCAGACATGAGATAGAGAGAAAAAAGTCTCAGATATAGCCAGGTTGAGATAAAAGAAATCTGAGGCTATAGACTCTTTGGAGCCACTCAGAATCAGCCACATGACATAAGTGTTTAAAGGAAAACTGACCATCAGTTCGATCGCCGCTATAGGTATTAAGTAAACAAAGTCCTCCAAAGCAAAATGGATTGAAGATGCATTGGTGATGTTCATTTTGTGACTGTAAAGAAGAAGAAAATACAGGATTAGAAGATTAGACATGGAGTATACAGTGATATTATCCATTCAACACTTTTGGCTAAACCTTCATTCATGTTTTAAAGGCCAAAAACATACAAAAATCACCTTGGTGCCAATGAGCAGGAAAACAAAACTAAGAAAATCCCACAGATTGAAAGTTACACTGTCTTTAATTCAAAGATGATCTTCTTGAGTTCTGATCATGCAGCATTTGAGGACAGATTTGAAGTGATCCATATTAGACTCTGCAGTCTCTTATTGCTCAGTGCACTGTTGGCATAAGCAAATACAAAAATAACAATCAGTTGTCAGGCTGATATATGGAAATTTATGTCAGAATGTGATGTGCAACGAGAAAATACAGTCAATGAATGTGACCAGTTGTCTACCTTAACCACAGTTTATTCTGTCTCCTCATTTTGATGAAACGATAAACAATCCTGGAGACTAGTGTGTTGCATGACCGCCTGCTCTGACAACATTTTGTTAATGTTTCATAACTGAAGGACCAGTTTCTGTCCAATTCTAGCCAAATATTGGATTTCAGGATCTCAACATTTTAAGGTCTCTTATTGACATATTTTCTCATTTATGTGTCAAAATGAGCCATTCTTGAATCAATAAAAGAACTTGCTTCTGATGGTTTAGTTAAGGCCCACCTGATGACTCCTCTGAAAACAGAAGATGGGTCATGGTTTTCCCTCATCTGTTTTCTTCTTTATAGACCTGACAAGTATTTCACTGTCGGTATTCACAGCTCATAATCCTCATGCAAAAAAAAACAACCAAAAAGCATTGCAGTCATATTTGATTAAGAATTAAAATAAAAAGAAAATCAAACATAAGAAGTAAAAGTCAGTTCCATTAATCTCTGCATCGTCTCCAGACTACGACCAAGCACTCCTGAAGAAGTCATCAATTCATTCATATCATCCTACATAGGTTCATGCAACTTTTTATACTTTTGTGTTGCTCAGCCTGGTTTATATCGTTTTCAATGCAGCACATTATTACATATTACTTACTGCTCATAAATTCACATCATAGTTTGCAACAGATGTAAATTTGCATGTGCCTTCACAGCTGCCTCTTCTCTGCAACGTGAAAGGTATGTAAAGCTGTGTTGTTGTTTCCCATCATTTCTCTTGCAAATTATGTGAGTTGAGGTCAGCTGTGAATATAGTAAATAAAAACAAATGCAAAATACAACACATCCAGGTCAAAAGGTTTTAATGTGGAAAAAAATGAATATTTTCATGTATGATCACCAGCTTGTCTTAAAAGTGATTTATTCTTTGGTGGTTATAAAGGGTGAATTTCTCCACACCATCAGTCAAAATGTCTATTCAAATGATTTATGCTAAGTGTATGTAATAAAAGTGTCTCTATCCTGATCCTGTAACTAAAGTCCATCAGAAGAGGTAAGGACTTTCATCCTACAGGTGGGAGAATTTTCATTTTTATACAACATATCCCAAGATATTTTTCATTTTAAGTGGTAAAAAAAAGTCTGTTAGCACTCGTCTTCACGTCAGTACAACAACTATTTAGATCAAAAACCTGCTATTTTATTGTTGTAACCATATTTGTTTAGTCTTATTCAGTATTTGTGAGTCATGCCTTTTAATCAGTTTTTACAGTCTTTGCACAAGGGGAGACCGGGGAATGGTTGTAACACTTGTTGCTTCAGCATTGGTAATTCACTGAGTCTTTAAGGAAGAATTTTCAAACTTTTACACAAAGTTCCCACAGCTTCCAAAGAAAGTAACAGTATAAGAACAGAAATAAATATAGTCTTGATTCAAGTATTTTTTTATATCGGAATTATTATTATTATTTTTTTTTCTATTTCTACATACAGCCTCCAAAATGACCACGGGAAATTCGGGTGGGAGTGAGTAAACTCTAAAATGACCGTTTGACTCCTGTGTCATCCCTGATTGGTAAAACTGGTGATGTTTCAATCTTGTCTTTGATCTCCCCACCAACAGCTACGTCCTGTTGCTCATATTGAGTGGAGGACAAGAGAAGATAGCCTCTGATTTTGTCCACACATCTTCTGAAAGCTGCTGTACTTGTTCAGTTCGGTGTTTGTCAATATACGCCCACTGGTTTAGAGCTTTGTCCACCTAGAACAATATCTAGTTCCACAGGCGTAAACCTCTGAAGTCCAGGATGATCTTTTGCTGTTCTTCCTAGTTTGCAGTCACCACATTGTCAGTTGTTGGAACTGTTTTTGATTTTTAATTCTTTTTTTTTTTTTTTTTTTTTTTTTTAACCATTGGAAATGTTTTACTTTTACTTGTTACTGTTCATGGCCTTTTGCTGCCTCTCAGTTCTCAGAGCTCCGAAACGCCCTGGACCAGGGATGGGGCAGAGGGTCCAGCACAGGGGAGACAAAATGAAGAAAAGGGCTTTTAATCTCATTTTGTTTAACCAGGTGAACACCATTGTGTCTCATCTCCCACTAATAATCATTGGGTACACATCAGAGCTTGTTTTAACTCTGGGCTCAATAAACACCATCGTCTTTGTCATATCAGGTTTTGCACCATCTATCCCGTGTCTGTCTCAGGAGAAGAAACTCTTGTTTGTTAAAGATAGTTGCATATGACCGCAGTAGATGAAAATGATCATATTAGACGACTTGTTGAGGAGCATTTGTGTTCAGATAAATCAATATACCACAGTCTATCTCATATTTGCACCTATAATAGAATTGTTGGGCTGCTCAGTGTTTTGTGATTGGTTTACGTGACATCGAGTTTAACTGACATCGAGAAGATGGAAAGAAACATTAGTGCAATATGTCAATGTCCCTGTCGGAGGGATTTTAGCACCATTTTATTTTTCACAATGAGAGAAGATGAATGATCCATATACTTAATTAGTGGATTATGCTTTTATTTTGAAAGTTGCTTTCTGTGACACGGACAAAACAAATATTGGAAAACTGATTATGGCTTGTTGTTGTTATACATTAAATAAACCATCCAAAGTTATATCATATCTAACCATTTGTCTACTGTCTGCAAGCTGTTTAAGTCACGTGAGATCAGTGTCTTTAAGTAATACACAGCTGATTACAAAGTTCCACACATTAGCGATACTATGATTACAATTTTACAGGTAGCATTTGATATATGAGTGAGTAAAATCCAGACAGAAACCTGCAAAGTATGCTCATTATATTTGAATTTTTTTCTAAAAATAAATGCCTTTTTTTATGTATAGTGATTTTATTGGTACCTTCTTGATCCACAGCAGAGGGCCTACATACGGTTGTTGAGTCTTAGTAAGGTGTTGGGTTCTGCTTCAGCTGACAGAGGGTGACAGAGGAGCCCACACCAAAACCAGCATACAGAGGCTCACTGAACTGGGCCTTAAATCTGTGGATCAGCTCCATAGTCTCTGCTACTGAATAAAAGGCCACAGTGCTGCCTGCATAATCCAGGTAGACACCAAGCCGTGAGGCCCTCGGAGCACCAGGAAGGTCTCGGTCCACTTTGTTGTGCCAGGCAGAGTAACCCGAGTCTGAGCACAGGAGACTCCAAGACTTGTCGTTGTAGCCCAGCAGGCTGTGTGAATTTTTCCCTTTTCGATTGATGCTCTTGTAGGCAACCCCGATTGAAAACTCCCCGCTCCACTCCGCCTCCCAGTAAAACCTGAAACCAGTCAGAGGCTCCTTGCACAGCACCTGGGAGAAGCCATCGAAGCGTTCTGGATGATCTGGGTAATACTGGGTTGCTTTCTTTCGTGTGACCCTCTGGTTACCGTCAGCCAGGACCAGCTCTTTATAAGCTGTGTTTGGATCGAAGGACAACTTGCAGGAGTCTGACAACCACAAATAGTAGAAAGTGATCCATTGAGTATATTTAGATGAACAAAAATTTAGGTGATCACAGTGCTACATTTAAAAGAAGCAAATTACTACAATCTTACATCTTAAGAAGTCTGTTCTGGTCTTTGGCTCCTGAAAATCCATTCTTGAGGGAACTATTTGGATGTGAAATCATGGACACCTTTAGTTTCACTTTCAGAGTGAATTACAAAATAACTTTGAAACACTTTCCCCCCCCAAAATCTCTGTTGTTCCCTTTCCCAAAAATTTGATCTGTGACTACAACTTTGTGTGCTTACAGAAAACATACAAAGTTTTACATGTTAAAGTTCACAGATACTTACCTTTGAGTCGCTTGTCTCCATTTCTTGGCAGAAGTATGTACACCGGGGTTTCACTAACTGTTGAGACGATACGGCATGATGTTAGCCAACTCTTCTGTAGTTTAATTTTTTATTCTTTCTTAACAGTATCCAGACCTGTCTTGGAGATTTTGCCCAGTTCCTTCTTACAGATGTCGTCCAGGTGTTCCTTCATCTCCATGGCTGTCTTGCTCATCTCTCCAAAAGAGAACTGAGGGTTGATAAGCACTTTGGGCACCATCGCTTCAGGAGGGACGCACAAGGAAGGAAAATTCTGTTCAACAGGACAAAGGAGAGCCATGATAAGGAGTATGGTCACAAACTAGAATTGCATTTTCACATACTGTTTTTCCTTTTTTTCAGTTAATCAAATCTACTTTATTACCTTGTCCTAATATAAGGCAAGCACTAAAACAACTTTCACAGATGTAGCCATCTTGTTTCTGCCTCCAATTTTGCTTCAGTTACCGACTTGGTAACTGAAACGCTGGTAGCTCGGGTGTGACGTCATTTTTAGCTCTGACATCTGATTTTAGAGGTAACTCGAATTCAGCAATAATGTTAATGTGTAAACATCATACGATTGTTTGTTTAACAAGACTTGTATTTTTTAAAAACACAAGCATCCAGGCTAATATTTCTTGCAGTCTTGTGTGATCTTTCAGCACCTGTAGAAAGTGAATGTTGTCCTCTGTCTCCAGGATCTGCCGCAGCTCTGTGTCTCTACGCTGCAGCTCCTGAATCTCCTGCTCCAGACGTTCCACATAGCCCTCAGCTTGAGACATTGCTGACTGCATGTTGGCCATGATCATCTGGTTGATTTCGGCCTTCCAGCGCTCAACAGCCTGCAGCATTTCGTGGAAGGTCTTATCGCTCTCTGTCTGTGCTCTCTGGGCATTACTCTACCAGGTTTGATAACAGATCAGGTCATGAAAAGAGACGGTTATCAGGCATATTGTATACATAATGGCTTCAGACGGATACTTTTGTATGTACGGTAGATCATAATATATCTGCATCCCCCCAAGAAACTCCAAACCTTAGTCTTGGATGTTTGATTAGACAATTTCTGATCTTACTTTGAGAACATCCACGTTATGTTTGAGCTCCTGCAGCTCCTTCATCCTCTCCTGAATGATGTGCTGGACTTCAGACTGAGTGACCACCAAGACTTTCTGTTGGGATAACGTGGCAATAAAAGGAGGCTTTTGTGATCCAGAATCTTTTAAGGCAACAAGACACCTGGCACTTTTGACCAATATGGGTGAAGCTTTAGTTGGGATTTTCAGAAAGTTCACTTAAAGTTCAAAATTGCCAAACAAAAATTAAACATTTTGTTAGTCAAGCTGTTCTCTTGTTTGACTCACTTGCTTCTCAATTCGCTCTTCCTCCGCTGAGGCGATGTTGTGGCCGCGATGCTCTCTGACGGTACACAGCACACAGATGCACATTTGGTCAGAGCGACAGAAGAGCTCCAGTCCTTTCTCATGCTGAGGGCAGATCTTCCTGTCCAAGTGACCCGTCTCATCTACTAACTTGTGCCTCTTGAAGGTCGCTGACTCGTAATGTGGCTTGACATGTGTCTCGCAGTAGTAGGCCAGGCACATCAGACATGACTTGACAGCCCTGTTGCGACGGCCAACACAGAAATCACAGTAGGATTCCCGGTGCATGTAAGGGAAAGGAGTGAGCTCGGGAAGCTGACGATGTGGCTCGTGGTTGACGTCCGGCAGATTGCGTCTCAGCACAGGCCGAGGTGTGAAGGTAGAACGGCACTGTGGGCAGCTGTACACACCCATGTGGTCAAACTGGTCCCAGTAGATCTTGATGCACTCCAGGCAGTAGGTGTCACCACAGGGGATGGTGACTGGGTCTCTCAGTGTGTCCACACAGAGAGGACAGAAGGAATCTGGTGGTAAAGGAAAGCCAGATTCTGCCATGGTGACGACAAATTTGAGACTGATTCTAAAATAACGAAAATTTAGCTCAATTCCAGCTAGGTCTCAATCCCCAGACTCTTAACACAAGTGAGTCCGCTGAGTTAGAGTAAGAGTTGCTCTTGTAATCTCACAACTCCTTAACAAACCAGAGACAGAGCTGACCTGTACTGATATTTAAAGGGGAGGTTTTATTTCCACTGTAAACAGACTCATGATGTGTTCCCACAGTTTCCATCACCTGAGAGAAAGCCCTGAGGTGTTCAACCATGACAGAATCTGCTTAACAAGCAGGAATTCGAGATGCAACAAGGTCAAGTTTTTAGCATAATAAACCTCTGAGGGCTTACGCAGAATATAGCTGATTTCAACAAGACCGACAGTTTCATGATCAGCGTACTGCGCCCTCTTGTCTACAATAAGCTGTGAAACTGTCCTCTTTGATGCTGCTCTGGTAAATTAAACACTATAAAATGATCTTCCTGGTGCATGTTCTGTGGGGTCACTTCGTCCTTCACACTCTTTAGCCTCCCATCCAGCTGAGCAGAGAGTTTCATGATGGTGAATGACGCCAAAATGACCTGTCCTGTTTGTTATGATGCCAAACAACTTGTTCTGTTTATTCTGTGAACAACAGACCAAGCATTTGTATTGGTATGTGGGCACCTACAGGACTATGCGGGTAAACCTGCATAACAAGATGTGTGAACACTGCATTACCAGAAGACAACACTTTATAACATTTATGTGAAAATTTTTAATAAGTTCATTTAATGGAGGAAGTTATTATTTGCAGATTACAGCTACAGTTGTACTGAAAGATTTGATTTGTACTTTTGAACATTATTTATATTTATAATTTCCAACTGAGAACACTTTTGCATGTCAAAGCACTTTGTGAACTCTTTTTTTAAGGATCGTATAAAATGAAACTATTATTATTATTGTTATTTTTACCATTATCATTAACATTATTATTCTTATCAAAACTTAAAGGGGGTAAAACTTAAGTTGCATTCATAAACAAAAATGTAGTGGAGCATGTGTCCCAGCATCGTGAAATCTGGTTGAAGCAGACTGCTGGCACCAGCATACAAAGTCTTTAGGTATGATGTTAAAGTCACCTCAGGTCAGGGCTGGTGCTTTTATATGAACCACATTTCATATACTGAAAACCGTAGATCTAGAAATTGTAAAAGTTGCGCTCTTGGCAGAAGTGGGCCCTTCAATCAGACCACACCAGACTCAGATTGAGTGAATGAATGAATGAATAGTTTATTTAACTGTCCAAAAGAAAAACAAGCCAGGGGGGCAGGGATCCAAAAATGATGACTGAGAAAACCAAGGACTGCAGGAGGACTGGGCGCATCACCAGATTGGCAATAAAGATGGCAAGCGAAGGAACTGGCAGGGAATGAAGATTCAGACCGCAGAGGAGAGTGGTGGTTGAGGAGCTGATGACATGTAGATGGCACAGGTGAGGTGGATAACCAGATAATAACCAGTTAATGTCTCAGGTTGTAACCTGAGACATTACCTGGTTATAACATGGTTATATCCTGAGAAACAACCTGGTTTTAACGTGGTTATAACCTGGTTATATCCTGAGACACAACCTGGTTATAACCTAGTTATATCCTGAGACACAACCTGGTTATAACCTAGTTATATCCTGAGACATTACCTGGTTACAACCTAGTTATATCCTGAGACATTACCTGGTTATAACCTAGTTATATCCTGAGACATTACCTGGTTATAACCTGGTTATAATTTGCATGATCAAAATTACTCTGAAATCTTGACAGATTTACAAATGGTGTTGTTTATTACAGACCTTAATAAGGTGGCTATGAGTTGGGGTGCTTTGACATATTAAAAATGGCAACTTTTCTTAGAGAAAAAAAGAGTTAAACATGAGGCACAGTTGTTTCACAGCTAGAGAGCTAACTTTTTAGTCGCTTTTAGCGAGTGGTCATCGCTGAGACCACAATTGAGATCATAATTTCTTGTATGACAGCGTATTTTTATTTTTTTTTTGACTAAGTAACCGTCTTTGTGGATTGGCTTGTGCTCTTCAGCTCTCTAACTTGGCTAACAGGCTCGCTGTGAGTGAGACCAAGTATGTATTACAAAGTTGACCAAGCAATTTTACATCAGTTAGAGAGTCAGAAATGTTCTTTCATTTCAACATAACTGAAGTTGTACATGATTTCCAAGCTGTTTGGTTTGTTAGAAACAATTAAAATGGCAACATGGGGCAGAAATTTATATTGAAACAAATACACATGTTATTATGTTATTTAAAGTTATCCCTATAATAGAAATATTACTAACATTCATGGAATGATTAAATGTTTTACATATTTATGATTTAATATAACTGCCTTGTGTGTGTAGGTCTATAGCTATTGCTCTACCGGTCTGCTTAATGTTTATTTATGAAAATCCATGACGAAAACAATAATGAGGAACACAACTAAAACTCTGAGGTTTGTTACAAACCAAACCGTTTGAAAACTTCATGCTCCCTCGTTTGAATAATTTGAGTATCCAGCTCTCCAGACCTAGAGGGAGTATAGTTGTCTATCGTGTGTTCTATTAGTCAGACTAAGGGCGCAACAGTATTTTGTTGCATTGGCTGTTAGATTATGTATGCTCTGCATCGCATATATAATTTGACAGTACATTAAACGACTCATATCCACATCAAGGTTTATACAAAGGTCAAATACCAGCATGGTCTTAATCAGTACGTTAAATAGTGAAAGGTGTATGTGATGATTACCTCTGGGACCTCAGTGAGTGAGTTTGGAGGAGCAGCTTGTGTGCTATAGGCGCCACCTTGTGGTGTTAAGAGAAAAGAGAAACACTGTACTCAGTATTGGAAATGACTCATACACCCCCTCTTTAGCTTTCAGTGCCTGTCTTTAGGCTGAAGTCTGTCTCCTTCCATTTTAGACATGTGTCTCGTAATGTACTTCCACTATTATCAGAACCTAAAGCCTACTCTGTACCCTGCCGTGACTTTCAGTTTGACATGAAGCTGTGAGATAAGCTTTCTCATAGAGTGTCGGTCGGACAGTGCCCTTGTCAATGGTCTTTTGAAGGGCCATTCTCCTCTTTGTCCAGACAAGAGGGCTCTTGTGACAATGACAGTAAGTGAGAAAAGAGAGATAGGGCAACGTAGCATAGCAATGACTGATGGCTTTGAGCTGAGTTGGGTGGTATGGAGGGGAGATAAGGCTGAAAACAGTAAACTCTGTGAGGAAAAATAAAAATGGCTCATAGGATAGATCACACAGCTGGACAGAATAAAGGTTTTATGTTGAATTAAAAAACAACAACTGAAGGGTGTTTGTTATTTTTAGTGTATTAATAATAAGTAGAGACAAAGATGTATAAGGCAGGAATATGACATGGATGATACACTGTCCTATGTTGGCTCTTAGCATAAAACTGACAGGAAAGACAATAACGATGGGAAAAAACACTATACAGACAGAGAAAATTTAAGAAAACATCAAATATAAGAAAACAGCTGAATACGAAACAACATTGAGAAATTAAAAGAAAGAAACCATTGGTGGACTGTAGAAAACATGAATGTGGTTTTAGTGATGACACCTGTTGTGAAGAGGAGTCACAGAGCGCCTGAGTGCTGCAGATTCAACTTTACTTTCAGTCACTGAATTGATCAATTTATTAATCAAAAGTCAAAGAGGTGGGCCAAAGTGGACCTTGACCCCACTAGTAAACAGCCTATCTTTCAGTCAAACCAGCCATGCCCCTATTTCTGCATAATCACACATGACACTGAGCTTCTATGTTATGAGGCCATAGAGTCCTCCCCAATTATTGTTAAGGCAAAAGGAAGGTGCACATTCCTCTAGCACCCAAGCAATATTGGTTTCAAGCATATATTAAATGCATATTATGTTTACATTTCACTCTAAATATGCTGTGTGTGTGTGTTTTTTTTTTTCCTGTTGGGAAATTATGTTTTTGGATCTGTTTTCCCTTTTGTTATTACTGCAGCTTCTCTCACTTGGATTGTCTGCTGGAGAGAGCCGCCACACCTGAATTCTGTGAGGCTGTGATTAAAGCTGCAGGTAGCTAAGCATATGAGCTGAGTGGAATCAGCAGTCTGTGTGATGTGTGGCACATGAGACGTGAGGCTGTGAGGAGAGCCAGTTTGTTGGACTTATGTTGGACTAATGGTTAATTTTTACTTCCTCTGCAGGGGATATTTTTGCCAAGTATTTAATTAATTTGACATTTTTTCATCTTATTTTGATGTGGCCTAATAAATGTTCTCTTTTTTTAAAAATTCATTTGAGAATGATTTGCAACTCTGCATTGGTTTCATTTTTTAATGGTGGTCTCTGCATTTGCCTGTGTGTGTGTGTGTCTGTGTGTGTGTGTCAAGGAGGGGAAAAAAGGGATTTAAAAACAATCAGAAGTAATATTCGGGGTCAAAACTTTGCAACACTATCAGCTGCTTAGGAAGAACTGCTGAGAGTCAGTTTAAAAATGCAATCAGCAACTAAGAGGAAAAAAAATATCAATATGTATTTTCAAAAACTGTTTTAACACATTGTGCTGAAGCAACATTTGTACACAGGGACTGGGAGCTACCCAGACTGCATTAACTCAAGAGAGGCTGAGTGGCCATGATGTCATTGGCTGTGCTAGTCAGTGCTCTCTCCCTCCTCCCTCACATCTCTCCTGCTCCTTCTGTATCTCTCCATCTCTGTCATCATTGTGAGGAAGCCTGGGAGTGGCAGGAAGGAGGTGAGGCAGCGGAGAAATACAAAGAAGATTGAGGCGGGGGAAGTCGGTGAAGACGTTGAATCAGGATTTTCTTCTCTGCAGCATCCTTTCATTTACGGCAGCAGGTACACTTCACCTCTCGTCATTTCAACATGGCTGTTGTCATGTCCTCATATATGCCATAGATCGTCAATGGAAGTAGCACAGGATTAAAAATCTTTGAACCAGATATTAAGCAGCTGCTATGACTAAATATCTCTCATGTAGTTTAGTAATTAAACTGAAGAAGGGTATTTTTTAGATACGACTTTTCTATAAAAATACATATAACCAAGTAGAATATAGTAGCTGGTGTCAACTAAACACATTCTTTCGTGGTGCATGCATATTTTTTAACAATTTAATGCTTAAATACATGTTTGAGATATATATGAGAAAAATATTATGTCTCAGATGGAAGAACATATCAGTGGTCCATTCTCAAAACAGTGTTTAAGAATTGTGTTTTTCATGTTTGCACTTTATAAAGAATAGAAATGAGGGAAAGGAGAGAAAGTGCAGGGATCTGTTTGTGCATTTGCAGGAGAGTGAACAGCAGAGCGGCTACTGGGAAATGGAGTTAAATAAATTAAATTGGCCTAAGAGCAGCTGGGGTAACACTACCATAATGACGTGTGTGTGTGTATGTGAGAGTGTGAGTCCTGCAGGGAGAGAAATGTTCACTTAGGCTGACGATGATGGCAGCCAGTTCTTGGCAGGCTGACCACCAATCAGCTAATAGAGTCATTAGAAGTCTGAGCGAGTTTTTTTAATTCCTCAAAATGTCCTCACAAGGGTGGAGGGTGAAGTAAAGTCTATGTAAACACAATCAACACTCAGTCTGACAGGAAGACCTGATCTGTGCTCTAATTCATGCATACTGTGTTGTGTATATTTAGCATGGCTGAGGGCTCAGTGTCTATAGCAGAGGTGGAGACCTCCTTCCAGAAGTTTGCAGTCCATGGGGACACAAAAGCCACTGGGAAGGAAATGAATGGCAAGAACTTCGCTAAGCTCTGCAAGGACTGTAACATCATCGACGGCAAGAATGTAACCACCACAGACGTGGACATAGTTTTCACCAAAGTCAAGTAAGATGTCATTTAGGTCCATTGGGAGCGTCTGTAACTGTGCGACCCTTTTAATGTCACAAGCTGAAACCTCACTGTCAGGTGATTTAAAAAACTGGGTTTTAATTAGGCTCATACATGTAAAATACAGGTTTGCAGAGATCAGTGTCATGAGGAAGATACTGCAAAACCAACCATCATGTTATCTTGAGTTTTTTGTTTTCTTTTCTTTTAATAAACAATCGGATCAAGTGCATAGTGGTCAGGTACAAACTTGTGAAAAGCGCATAATCAAAGCTCCTGCAAATATCGATAAATTGGTAAGAATTTTGGCACCACCATGTGGACAAATTGAAAGCTGACATTGGGCTCTATTTATGTGCCTTCCCGGCAGCATGGCGCAGGCGCGGCATAAGTCACTTTGAGTCACTTAAGCACACTTAAGTATTTTGGTGAGCGGCACAGGCCGGTGCAAGTACCCCCCCCTCCCTAACTCAGCTCCTCCCAGTGGCGTAAGGAGGAAAGAGGGACGGGATATGGTGTAGAGTGGGTTTAACACAGCCAAGTCCTGTTTTCACCAATCACACCAGCTTCTCTCCTCACTTTAAAATTCGCCATCCGCGAGGCGTATTACAATTTCAATGAAGTAGTCGAAGAGATGGCTGTAGACAGCAATGCCACAAGGTGGCAACAGGATACAGCCCTTCAACAAGTGTCGCGGTAAGCGCTGTGGGGGGCATCCTCCACACTCTCTCAAATAAGCGCAGAGGGATTTGGTGTGTGTAAAGTTGTACCCACCGGTAAGACAAACACCCTTTTCCACAAATAAAGACAATCACATCAAGGTGCATATATTTGAATTACATATCTTGTTATCGTCATCATGTGTGACTATTTATTGGATATTCAATGCAGTTCCAGCTGTGTTAGTTCGGTCAGGTCAAGTGTCCAAAGGTGTGCCAAACACGCTCATCAGATAAGATATACATCAATATGTCGATATAAATTTAAATATATGTGCTGACTCAAATAGTTGCACTGAATATTTGTTGTTGTTTATTATTTATTGCACTGAAATGTGTCTGACACTGTGGAAACCTGCCTGTAAGGCATTGGTGACATGTGCGCACTCCAGCGCCAGTCTGCAAAAAATAACACGCCGAAAGCTGAGCAGGTTTGAATTGGCCAGCTTTCAGCACACTTTCTACCCCGCTGGCGAGCACAAAAATGTCACTCTGTCTCAGTCTACCAAAATACCAAACTGGCTGTGCGCCGGGCTGTGCCAGACGAAAGTACCACTGCGCGGGGTTCTCCACCCTGCGCTGTGCTGCTGGCGGGCACGAAAATAGAGCCCCTTGTGTCATGTTTTTGAAGCCTACATGTCTTACACTGCTTTTGTTTAATATCAGTTTCCATCATGAGTAATATAAATACTTCTAACAGCCTCTCTTCAAAAGATATTTACTATACCATCTAATTTTTGTAACCCAAAATTGTGAAGTTGTTTCACTCTCCATACTCTGTGTTTCCTCAGAGCAAAGTCAGCTCGTGTGGTCACATTTGAACAGTTCAACCAGGCTCTGACAGAGTTGGCTCCCAAACGATTTAAAGGCAAAAGTAAAGAAGAGGCGCTACAGCAGCTCTATGGTCTTATTGTTGGCAGGGAGCCTGCCAATGTTGGAGTCACTGTGAGTATAAGTGAATTGAGTACAGTAGGTATCATAGCAAAGTCACATTTGACAGTGACTGACTGAAATGTTTGCACCTATAAATGGACAGAACAAGGAAGAATAAAGAGTTCAGTGGCAATGTATTGACATTTTTTAAAGCTGTTGTTTTATCCTGATTTCTGTTACCACTATTTGCAAATGTTACTTTTTAAGAAAATACATTTAAATGATCACAGGATTCATTATTATCTGGCATTTTCTCATTCCTGTTTGTAGAGAGTGGCAAAGGCCGCAGCGGTGGACAGACTGACTGATACGAGCAAATACACGGGAGCTCACAAGGAGCGCTTTGATGATTCTGGCAAAGGGAAAGGAAAGGCCGGGCGTGAGGACATCCCAGACACCAGTGGCTACGTGGGAGCTTACAAAGGCAGCGGCACTTATGATGAAAAAGTAAAAGAAAAGTGAAAGAGGCCTTATTCTAAGGACAGATTTTCAGTTTTTTTCTTCAATGAAGGTATAAAAAGACGACTTCAATTCGTTGGCAGCAGATATAAAGAAGCAAGTTCCTCAAGAAAATCCAAAGATTATAAAAATAGCTATCTCAAGTGTGTAAAGAAGTATTCAGTGGCTTTAGATGGACATAGATAAACTAGCTCTCAGCCTAGCATGCATCTAAGGAACTATCTCAGCCTTTACTACAGCTTAACACTGTGCCTTAATACTCACTTAGAAGCTAGCATCGATGCTTTGTGTAGAGCACTGTGTACTCTCATGAGCTACTTTTTTTCTGCTGGTATTATGAATGAAACGGTTAGCTTACACTTTTTTATTTTAGTGCCTTTTGCTACCAACCAATCTATGCTCACTATTACAAATGAAATGTATTCACATAAATTAAGAGAAAGTAGGACTTGTAGAACAATGTAACAAGCACTGAAAGAAAAAGCAGAGTTATGGCCGTAGAGCAAATAATTACCATGAATGATTTCACATTGAAGAAATTCACTTTGGTTTTGCATAAGGATGAAATATGTAGCAATAAAAATAGTATGAAATGTCTGCTTCTTGAATGCAAAAGCTCGTCAATATGTGTAGATACAGTATGTACTGAACAGTGATAATTTAACGTATATAATATTAAAAAAAACATGACTTTTTTTTTTTTTTTGGGTCAGCTTTTTAAATTTATTCTTATAAACTCATATTGTGCTATTATCTCACTGCTTTATGTTGCATTCTGTCATGTTGTATTGAATTTAATGTGGGGTGAATTCAATAAAGAATATAAAAGAAATTAATTTAGTTGAAAAAGGTCTTATTACAAAATGCACTAACACGACAACCATATTCTTCTCTGTCCAACACTTTTGTTATCTAGTTTGTGTGATTCAACCTTATGCCACAAAACCCCCAAATCAGTGACATCACCTCTGAAACTGGCATTTAAAGGGTAAGCGTTCATAATTATAAAATGATAACGATAATAGTTTTTTGATTAGGACAGAGCTTGATAAGATTTGTGCAAAAATAAATAAATAAATAAATAAATAAATAAAATGTTTATCTGATGTTTTCACAGCAGCTAAAGTCAATGGCTGTTAACAGCCACTACAGGACCAAAGGATAGTAAATCTGGCCACAATGCAATTTTGACATCGTAAAAAGTTTGAAAAAAATCTCAAGATTTTTGTAAAATCGAATTTTCTCCCAAAAAAGGATGTTACTCACTCAAAAAAATCTGGTCAGAAAAGTGGGGTATAGCTCTCCCTAGTGGCTGTCAACAGCCACTTAAAAAGACAATTAAAAGTATAGTTTATCTTCTTTACACACTGTGGTAACTCATGGGTCTAAAAGTTAGTAAAGGTATTTATGCATTTAAGTAAAAAAAATTACACAATGTAATCTGTAAGTTATGTACACATTGATTTAACAGAAATAACTGTAGGATTTTAGCAAAAGAAAAAAAAAGTGTGTTAACTTCCTTTTGTGACAACGATCTGGATCTTATCGTACACTTTTATTCAAGAGCTAGAGTACAAGAACTATTTACAGCAAAGTCAGCTAAAGAATATAAACCTTAACTAATCCTTGCTGGTTTCCAGAAATAGCTTGGATTCAATTTCACAAAACAAAGGATTGCAGGGAACAATAAACACTCTCAACCTGCCACCTGGATTCTCCTTGTAATTCGACCCTGCTGGCATTGATGCAGGAGTCATAGAACTATTGAAACTGAGCTTTTTGTGCAGAGTGTATGTTAAAGGTAGCCTTCCTCTTATATATCCCACATTAAAAGCCTGTGCTGATAAGCATCACTTGAATTTTGTACATAAACTGACATTGAGTTTCTAAATACACAAAAAGTATCTGTTTTGTCATGCACAGCTCAGGATGAACTATTAGTGCATCAAGATATGTCTGTATGAAAATCAAAACGTACTTTTCCAAAGCAATCATGTGTGCTTGATAAAGTGAAGGAGTAATTTCTGTCACTCCAACTTTTGAATTTTATTGTTCATTATCTGAAGTAAAACTTTTTGTCAGTTTTCACACATTGAAATAAGAATAAGAATCATCAAAATAAAAGCAGAATAAATGTTCAGAAAAGTAGCTTAAGATAAACAAATTACCACAGTTGATTATAAAATAATACCACACACTATATATTTAATGTCCAACCTTGACGACAGGGTGAATACAGGAAACCCCATCCTTACCTAAACTAGGGCCTTCCCAGTGTCATCAGTTTCCAAGTGTTAGGCTGATGTAGAGGAAAAAGCAGCAGGCTTATCATAGACAACATACTGAGTGATCCTATCAGCATACCTGACACCTCTGACCTAATAACCATAGTATACACTCAGGGGCCAGATATAATCTTTGGGAAACTCTGATACGCTCTGGGGAGTTTGTACAGATCTGAGTCTGCCCTCACAGGTCACAGCTCGCCTAGGGAGCGTCGAGTTCACAGTGAGAATCAAGTTATGGACATTGACACAGAGATCTCCCCACCCACTTGGAAATAAAAGTGACCTGAAAACAAACAGTACTAACAAACTGTCATTTTGCAAGCTACTCTTAGGTCCTCTGCATATTACTTTTTAGGATAACTTGTTTAAAACGCTGGATTGCCCAATTTCAAGTGGATACACAGTAAGGAGAAGCTTCTTCACTGGACAGCAGTAAGTTTTTTTCCTTTTTTTATAAAAATAATGAATGAGATACAAAGCCAAACTCCAGTTTTCTTTTTCAGAATAAACAGAATTCAGAAACTTTTTTTTGACACAATAAAAATGAGAACCTACGCTTATTAACTTGATAATTAGATGTGATTGTGATTTTCTATGACAAGAAAACATCATTGCCTCGTAACAGTATTCCCATTGTGACGCTCCTGTGTTGTCTTTTGTGTTATTGAGTTATATTTAACAGGGTCATCATTTTTCAGGACAAACTTGAGTACAAGTTTGAGAGCTGAAATGAGAGCTGTAGCATGTGTGCTGTTTATCCTGAGCCTGGTGTGGGACAGTGTGAGAGCTGACAACTCAATCAGCAGCTTAAAAATGGCAGCAGGTAAAGTGGTGCTTGGTTCATTAATGTTGCTCAGAATCTGTTGATTCAGATTGTTATCTTAATACGTTATGTGTATTGAAATGCTACAATAACAACACAAATACTTATGGCATCCATACATTTAGAAGTTTGTCATTTTCCATGTAAGCTGTATCAATACAAAAGCAGCAGCTATGTTAAGTTTATAGGACTTCCTTTTTATTTTTTTAGCATCCTGGGAGGGGGAGCTGCCGTGCAAAGAGTGGAACTGTGAGTGTGCATTCAAGCAGCGCGGTTGCTGCTGTGCTGCCACTGATCTCCAAGAGGTGGAGGATCAGATCTTCCACAAAGTGATGGACCTGTCCAGGAGAGTTTTCCAGCTTGGGGACACCATCCTTGAAGTTTTAGGTACTCTATAATAAGAACAAAGGCATTGTTAGAAATAGCTCAAAGTTTATTTGGTAACACATCAAACTACTCGAGTTGTTTTAGGCTGATATTTTTTTAAAATATTTTCTGTGAGATTTTGAAGGTGCTTTGTCCATTTTGGCCTTAAAATGTAGGTTTTAAAACACTTTGAATTTTGAGATAATACAAAACAGTAGCTGATAAATAATTTCTTATAATTACGCAGATAAATCAACCGATGTTACACAACTTTAAGAATGTTGATTTATAGCAAAACAATCATAACAATAATAATTGGCAGGTTTTATCACTGAGGCACATAGCTCGTCTTTTTTGACTTGAAAAACTAGGCCAAATTCTCCTACTTTCCTATTTTTCAGTGTTTTATTCTTTAAACCGAAGCTTTTGTAAGTAAGCTTGCTAGACATATTTGAAGATGGTGCCTCGATTCTATATACCAAATAAAAGATTTCATACACCACAATCAGTATATTTACATGATGTTAAAATAAGTTTGGGTACGGTTCAACAATTTTCATGCCAGGTAAATGTGTTGAAGGGAGGTTAGCCTCATAGACTGTATATAGAATGGGCGCCGTCTGCCTCATGCTGGGTGAAGCCACTCTGAGAACAGCACCCTCTGGTGACGGGCTGCAGTATAGGTCATAAATCCCGCCTCCGCCAGCAAAGCTTATGGGACTGTGGACAAACTAGAAATTTATTACGCAGAATATACATTTGTATCCCCCCTGGTTGTGATGTTGACATGTAGTTACTGTTAGATTGGTTTGTGCTCAAGTCCTCTTTTCTCTGTACAGCTCCATTTTTAAAAGTTATTAGGGGGTTCATGTTTTCTATGATTGGCTCTTGATACAGCCTTTTGGTGCACCAAGATTGTGTAGCTCACCCAGGGGATACGCTGTTTGAGCTGAGCGCCATCACAGCGACTCTCCCGCCAATTGCATACAGTGCTACTGCACAAATGGTGGAGTATGTACAACGCTACTGCACATTGTTGGTTTCAGGAAGTTGAGAAAAAAAACCGAAATATCGTGAGCAATTCAGTTTCAAATTCCTGTAATGACAGAAGGTGGGACCAAGTATATACAGTCTATAGTTAGCCTCTTGCTAACTTGTTTGTAGGTTGTTTTGGTACATGACTATACTAGGTCACCTGACAGACAGTCGACCAAATTGACCAAAAAGAAGGATGGGGATGGACATACTTGTGTTCATAAATTTGGTCTCACCTGGTGTGTCTTTAAGGACAGCTTCAAAGGCTGCCAAACAAGGGGGTATGGCTGCAGGCTGGCTCATATAGAGTCTACTCAATTTCAGATAAACAACAAGATTCTGAAAATGATAGCATGATTGACTGACCTTTCTCAATGTAATATTCAAAGGTAAAGTTGCAGTCGAATATTATGCACCGATATCTGACTAAAGGTTTGATCTTTGTGGATAAGACACAAAGGCTGCTCTTTGTAAGTTCTGTGTAATTTTGTAGATTTAATTAAAGAAAGTGTTGAGCCATCAAACATTTTTCATTGCTGTGACAGTCTTTGACAGCTGCAAAGTTTCAAAGGCCCCCTGGTCTCAGGGAAGGTAAATCTGTGTGTCGTCTGCATAGCAATAAAAGGAGATTTAGTAGAGCTAAATTATTTGGCCAAGGGGCTGCATAGACGAAAAATAAATCTAGACCTAAAACTGAACCCTGTAGTACACCACAAATAGCCACTGTGGGCATAGGACTGAACCTGTTTGAATACCCGAACATACTTGAAATTGATGAAATACATCCAAAGTATCTGTTTTCAGAAAGAGATGATGGAGTAACATCTAACAACTTTGTTATAATTCTATGTTTGCTCTTCCCTGTTGGTCCCTCTATTTCAGGAGGGATAAGAGTTGCATTTACAGCCTCCATGAGTCATAAAAAGACCTGCTTTGGACCTTTCACCAGGAGCACCCCCATTCCTTATAATCTCCTCACCTTCAATCATGGAAGTGGATATAATCCTGCCCTGGGTAAACACTCACAAGCAGTAATTTTAACACCACATACACATGATTTCCTGCCTTTGTAAAGTGTAAAGGAGCCTTTTACAAATTTTACATGCTGTCCAAATGTTATTTATTTCAGGAATTTTCACAGCTCCTCGTCCAGGATTGTATTCCTTCTCCTTCTCAGTCTACTCAAAGGTGCAAGGGGAAGGGGAGAAGATGTACTATAAGGTGCAGCTCATGAGAAACGGGGAGGCGGTGGTTTCAACCTGGGAAGATAACAGAGAGGACTCAGAGGACAGCAGCTCTCAGACAGTACTGCTGTCTCTGGAGCAGGGAGGTCAGGTCTATGTGCAGCTGCTGAGCGGCAGGCAGCTCTGTGGAAACATTGAAGGTCTTAACACCTTCTCTGGAGCCCTGATTTACCCTACTCTGACTTGATGATTTGTTGACTGTGGTTTTCTTCTTCCATTTTTTAATATAAAAGATTTATCAAATAAACTTCTGAATTTTTAAGTTGTTTCAGTGTCTTTACAATGCTAATGATCCCAAGCTGCCACTCAAGATAGTATATGTTTTCTGATCAGAATAAATAGATCTCTAAGGTTAAAAAATCTTTTGAGTGTGTAGATGTTGAACATAAGTTCAGAAAGTACAAAACTTCCAAGATAAAATATGGCAAAAAAAAAATCTAACTTTTAACCCAGCTTTTCATAGAGTACATCAAAAATGAAGGAAACACCAAACGATTAGAAGCTCCCCCTACTGGCTGGATGTTAAAAATATTGGTTTGCAACCCTTCTGTCATATGATAAGTGCTGATTTATTATAAGGGTTGATTTTTAGAGAAGTTAACTTTTAATCAGTTATGGTATGATGTAAATAACAAAAATGAGGAAATATCATGAGTGATAGACTTGTTGACAATTGGGGGTTTATACACCGAATCAGGATTAGACGCAAGAAGCTGTTTTGCAGCGGACTGACCTGAGACTTGACTGTTTAAACAGGTTTTGGTTAGAAATTATGTCACTGGTGCAAGACCTCAGCAAATTAGCCCATAAAGGGTATTTTGCCTGTCAGGAGACAACATTTAAAGCTGGCAAACTAGAAACGGATCTAAAACTCAGTGCTGATGTTTGACCTTCAAAGGAATTGCTTTTAACCTCTACTTTTTTTTTTATCACCACAAGCTTCATCTCCAGTCTTCAGTCTGTCAAGTCCACCAGTTTACCACGTAACATGATTTCTGTTTCAACTATAAAACTGAGTACACAGCAGCCTCCTCCTAAAACAAGTGACAGTCTATACTTTGATTTTGTTTGGGAACTGAAGTACATGAAAGTTGATAATGACAGAGAAATGAAAGAATGCAACAAATGTTATTGCAGCAAGTAGTTTAATGAAACAGAAAGCAACACAAAAAGGTGTCCACGAGGAAAAAACAGGCATGTTTACTTATTCAGAAAGTCAGACAGCTTCAAGATGGCAGTATGTTTTTTTCCTGTTACCCGGATAAGGAATCATAGATGACTCATGGGTATACGGCTTTGCAGTTCAGCCTACTTGCACTTCCTGCACTCTCCAGCTCATAGACAACTTTGCAGTCTTTCAGTTCTCCGTACTTACGGGGACCAGTAATATTCTTAGTTATCCTGAACGTTTCATAAGGGGGAATAAGAACTTCTGCCTCATCATCAAAGGTTGAGTAGTTCTTCAAAAAAGCCCCTGAACAGGTCTTGATTTTAAAGCAGGTCTCGTTACCAAAGTCAGTCAAACCCTCATAGAAAGAGCTGGATGCAAAGGAACCAAACCGAATTGTTTGGTTTTCCTGACCTGTAAACTTAACAGAGGTTCGTCTGTATGTAGTATGGCAGTGGTTATTGCTGTTCAAGATCTGTATGGCAGACGTCAAAAGATAATGCAAAGAGTGGAACTTAAAGGCGCTGTAGTCGCCTCCCTGTGTCCTGACTGCTCCATTGAATGTTGAGTAAATGTCATTAGCAGTATAAACACAGATGGCTTGCATGTGATCTTTGGTCAGAGCCCTATCCTCTACCATTGGTTTCTTCTTAGCACACTCTAATGCTTTATTCCATGCATCTGCAAATGCCTTAGATTTCATTTCTTCAACAAAATACACAGCCTTGACCTTTTCCGTCATTTTTTGGCTGCAGCCGAAGTACATGTCATCAACTGAGTCTTCAACCATGTTCAGTGGGAAGTTCTGGTCAGTTTTCTGTTGAGGGAAGTTGAATCGGATCTAAGAGAAAAAAAAACATACAATGATGAAGAGTGGGGTCATCAAATAGACATCACACCCTGTCCTTAATGTAGATTTATTTAATCTTCAAAAGCTGAACTTGATTTGTTTAAAGAACAAAATTAACAAACATTGATGGAATACATTGATTGAAAATTTATTTATAAGTCCTAATTTATGTTCCAGGAATATCATATCTACACTTACCGCCATGAAGTCTGCTGGCAGCATCAAGCCAAAGAATAGGCACAGCGGAAGAAAGATCAGCATGGTTCACTTTCTTATAGATGTCAGATAAACTGAAAAATATGTCAACACAAAAATTATGTCAATTAATAAAATGTTTTAATTTAAAAAAATCACTAAAATGGGTGCTAGAACAAAAAAAAAGAAAAGAAAAAAAAAAAACACCCAGAAAAATCTTGAATTTCTATTGGATTAAAGGCTCAACTTACCCGTCTTTCTGGAGAGATGACCCTCGAAACTTGTGTCCTTAGCATTTTGTCTTCTCATATATACCCTTCCACAGAACCAGGCCGGCCACATGACCTCCCACACATATTAACAAGTTCATCACAGGAGTGTTCGAAGTGGGAGTGTGTTCGGAAACAATTTTCTTAGTGTGTTACATGTGTGTTGTGTGCTGCAAACCTACAGACTACCCCGGGGCTCATTTTATTTCACAAGTTTTTTACAGTTTAATATCATGTTTAAAGACTAATCCTAATTCTGAAGTTAATAAAGTTGATGTACTCAAAGTTCAAAGTCAAACTTTAAAACTGAGACATGGACTTTCATGTTCATGCATGTAAAAATGTCCGTGGTGTGGTCATTTACTTGTCTTAATGCCCAAATAACTGTTCCCCATTAAAAGACCTATGAGACAAGTTGACACCTGTTGTATACAATAAATATAGAATTTGATCTCACATGCCTTTATGTTATTACACACTTCTTTTAAACATTGATCTTGATATTTTCATTGCGGCTTTAGTTTTTGTAAATGCTTCATTTCTATTTATAGTAGTTGTACTAAAGTCCAGACCAAATTCAAAGTGGTGAGGTTACAGCAGCTGCATTGACCTGTCCTTTTTTGTAACACCTTTTTATTAATCTAGGCAGGAACACATCTCAAATACATGGGGTCATTAGGGTAAAGGGTTTGCAAAGAAGTTATCTTTAACAGGTGGTTACCACAAACATCTCCACACCCTCACAATCTCTCCTTCTCTTCCTCACACCTAACACACCTGTGACACCATTTCTCATCTCTGAAGCCCTTTGAGGTCATGCAAAGTGAAGGTTTGGTTTTGAAACATCTCAGTACTCTTATTTTATTCCTCCTACATGAGACAAATTTAGTGTTTCATGATTTTTTTAGCCATGACTAATGTGAGTGATGGTGTAAACTACAAAGGAGATATACAACAGAATTTAGTTTTTTAAGTACCTTTAAAATACTGGATTACAAAGTGCTCCACAAGCTCAAACAACGCAAAAAAAGTGTTTAACAAACAACCATGATATTGGAATAAAAGGTCACACAGAGGCTTGTCTGTACAGATGACCTTTAAGAGGTTTTCTTTAAGCATTATAAGGTTCAGCAGACCTGATGGATTACAGGAGCTGGTTCCAGAAAGAGGGGACAAAATGCACAATCTGGGAATAGAAAGCAGACCAAAGTTTGAAGAACAGAGTGGGATATGGAATAAAGAGGTCATAAATGTAACTCAAGGAAGACTATGCAGTGCTAAATTTGACAGGAGGCCAGTTGAGTGATGCAAGAATAGGGAAGATGTGGGACTGATGGCTGGTTTGAGACTGGCGACTGCATTTTAAAGTAACTCAGTAGTGTGAAAACGATTGACTTAAGCAGCAAATTTTAAAAAATGGGAGGAAATTAAAGTCAGTAAAAGAGCATTGATCATAGGAGTTTAAGAAAAGGTTAGATTTCCTCTGTAAGTCATGGCCCTGGGAACATGTTGTGTGCTAAACCACTCAACTGCATGAGCCAGCTCCTGTGTTGTGTGGTGGCATATGAGGCGCACCCTGCTGGGACACCCCTATCTTTGAGATGGGTCGGGCCAAGGGGCTGAGTGAGATTCATTTTTAGCTTTGGTAAAACTGGTCCAAATTGGAGCATTATACTCTCCAACCTTGTTTTTTGTTTATAGGGTATTATATCAGAAAAATCACATTTCCAGTTCGACATACATTGGTATACATATAAGTTACATAAGCATATCATGACAAAACCTTTAGGGAACAGTTTGGAAGTGTTTTTTAATCACTAAAAGTTATCTTAACTTTTCTGTTAATTGTATGCACCGGCACTCCTCAGTTAAGTTTGTCAGAAAGGCTTAAATCATAAATTACTTATTATTAGCCAAACATTTGTAAGGATGTTACAGCGAAATAAGAAAACTTTTGAGAAGCTGAATAGAAACTTGTCAAACACTTGGCTAACTTCTATGTGCACTCCTCTTCAAATTTACTTTAAATCTTATATTTTGGTCTAAAACTGTATGAAAATGAATATGACACAGAGAAACTGAAGAATTTAATCAACATTGTTGCATCAGGGAGTTTAATAAAGATTCACAATAAACAGTTTATTTCTATGAAACTTAACAGAAAAGATTTTGGAAGAAAAGCGTAGACATTTTTAGATAATTCAGTCATGACGGGAAAGCAAGAAATATTCAAGACGGCAGCATGTATGAAGGATCGCAGATGATTCATGGGTACACAGCTTTGCAGTTCAGCCGACTGTGAATTCCCGCACTCACCAGCTCATAGACAACTTTACAGTCTTTCAGTTCTCCATATTTTTGGGGACCGAAAACTCTACTAATTATCCTGAACATTTCGTACGGGGGAATAAGAACTTCTTCCTCGTTTTCAAAGTTTGAGTAGTTTTTCAAAAAAGCTCCTGAACAGGTCTTAATTTTAAAGCAGGTGTTGCTACCAAAGTGAACCAAGCCATCTGATAAAGAGCTGGATGCAAAGTAACCAAACCGAATCATTTGGTTTTCCCGTCCAATAAACTTAATAGAGGTTCGTCTGTATGTAGTGTGACAATGGTTATTGCTCTTCAAGATCTGTATGGCAGACGTCAAAAGATAATGTAAAGAGTGGAACTTAAATAAGATGTTGTAGACGCCTCCTTGTGTCCTGACTGCTTCATTGAATGTTGAGTAAATGCCATCAGCAGTATAAACACAGATGGCTTGCATGTGATCTTTGGTCAGAGCCCTATCCTCTACCATTGGTTTCTTCTTAGCACACTTTGATGCATTATTCCATGCATCTGCAAATGCCTTAGATTTCATTTCTTCAACAAAATACACAGCCTTGACCTTTTCCGTCATTTCTTGGCTGCAGCCGAAGTACATGTCATCAACTGAGTCTTCAACCATGTTCAGTGGGAAGTTCTGGTCAGTTTTCTGTTGAGGGAAGTTGAATCGGATCTAAGAGAAAAAAAAACATACAATGATGAAGAGTGGGGTCATCAAATAGACATCACACCCTGTCCCTGATGTAGATTTATTTAATCTTCAAAAGCTGAACTGAGTTTTTTTTTTTTTATTTGACCTTTATTCAACCAGATAAAACCCAATGAGATTCGGATGTTTTTCACAAGGTTGACCTGGCCAAGAGGTTAGCAGCACATGTCATAAGAAACGTGCTAAACTGAACAGTTCATTCTTGTAAATAAATGTGTAGTGCTAAAAAAAGTCAGATTAAAGCTTGTCTTTATAAATATACATATCTGACCGACATTAGGCTAGGATGAGTTTCTCGTAGTTGGGATAGCTTTCTTAGATAATGCAGCTGGGGATATGCTGGGCATAAACATGTTGAAGAGGTCCAGGTATTAAACATATCCGCAACAGAAGACAGGAGTAAAAACGGACTGAACTGTGAGATTCATACATGCAAATGCTTTCAGACAAGAGTGTGATAAAGCTTTACAGTTAGCACTTTCCAAACTTTGGTGTGATAATGAGTGATAACAAGCTAGGATGTGCTTCACTTACTCTCATTGAGTCTGCAGGCAGCATCCAGCCCAAGATCAGGCACAGTGAAACGAAGGCCAGCATGTTTATTCACTGGTGTTAGGTGAGCAGAGGCACCTGAAAAAACTAAGAATAAGTCAGAGAAACCGCATGTGATCAGTCAAAGTAATAAACAAATCTATAGTAATAATATATATAACTGAACTCTTTATGGGACTAATATTTTTAATCCTGAAGTTGAATGAATTAAAAGTTTAACTTACCAGTCTTTCTACAGAGATGAGTTTCAACAATTGTGTTCTCAGCATTGGGTCCTCTAATATATACCTCTGCACAAGCTCTGGCTGACCACAAGACCTCCTCGATACGTGAACAAATTAACCACAGGAGAGTTTTAAAGAGTGAGACCCAAAATGACATTGGTGTTGTATGATGATTAGGTTTTAGTTTTGCCAGTAATTAGTCAAAATAGTTTCAGGAGATTTAAAGTCCTTCATAGTTTCCCCACCGTGTGTCTAATCCATCCCCTAAAACACAATGCATTCCTGTAACAGGCCATGTTAATTGAGAGGTTGTGTTAGTCTCGTCCTTCTGTCTTGATGCTTCTCTCCCATCTTCATAAACTTTTTCAGCTGCTTGTTGATCAAGACCCAAACAACTACCAGGGTGATGTCAGCTTAAAGTTTGACATCTGCTTTTACTGTTAACAGCTCCTCGTCCAAATCTTGTTTTATCAGAGTAAAGAGACAAGTAAGAGAGCAAATTCAACAAGACGTGTTGTAGTCATGATTACTTATTTGAAGATGATAATGCAGTGAACAAGTGCCGTGCCTGTCAAGGGGTGTTTCTTGGATTTGAGGACATTAGGGACTGAGCCCAAACTTCCCACTCTACCCAATCTCATAAAAAAAAGTCAAAGAAAATAAATTAGTGTAGTTTTCTATACTATATTCCTTCTAAATTAGTTTTAGTAAGAGTGTTTGACTAAAGAGACAAAATACAGACGCCTTTAGATTTGGATTAGAAACGTTGCATACACATTGCAAATTAGTCTGACTTCAACAGGTTTGGCATAAAGAACGCACAAACACACAGACACATGCTATAGAACGATTTTATACCTAGGTGGACAGAAAATGTATGTGTACCTGCTCCTGTGGTTATATCAAAAAAGTCCCTTCACAAGCAATACACTCAGCTGGTCTTCAAGACACACATACCCTCCTGTAACTTTCCTAGAAGTTCACTTAGTGCTGTTTTTTTCCATATATAACACAATTTTTAGGACACAAGCATCTAGAAATTCAGTACTATACAAGTGGGGGACTCCAGTGAAACAGTCATATGTGTGTGCACATACATTGTCTGAAAGATAATCCAAAAGTAACCCATTATGATAGAAACTACTCAGCTCACTTGTCTGAGGACTCAACGTTGTTCTACAGAAACAATGAACTGTACTCACAAAATAAAACCTACTGCATTGAAATGCAAATAATGCATCTAGCAGCCTGTTGCAATACAGCCTAAATCGAGCTGTGGTTCATGTTTAAGTCCCACCAAAATTGTTTGTTAACAATTTCTCACAATGACATCTTGGTGAGTGATTCACTTTTAGCATGAAAGCGTGACATTTTGCAAACACTGCAGCAGAGGTGTTAAATTATGAGGAAAAAACAGCTTTGTTTCCTGTGAGAAGTTTTTTGTCAAGCCCCACTCAGTGATATCTATGGCCCATAACTTTTTGTGTGTCACGTATGCAAGCCGCAGGGTTTCACTCTGAGCATTCTGTGGTCTTTAAAGGAAGTGAGATGGCTTTCATCAGAAAAACGACGCATCTGAAGCCCCCCCGGATACAAACCCCACCACACGTAAATCTCTCTGATAAGCTACGTGATTATGAGCAAATAGACAGCACTTTCATTATTTAAGTTGGATGTGTCAGCAAGTGTTTGAGCAGGGCAAAAACAAAATTGAAAGTGGAATTTCCAGTGAACAGAGGCATTTAGCAATTTATCACATTGTGGGAATTATCTTCCTGGTTTTCTTTTGCAGTTAACACAGACACACAAGTTTTACATGCATTGCCCTTTGTACCAGTTCACATGGTTGTGACACAGGAAGTTTAACTAAAAACTAAATTGATTTAGGGTAGGAAACTGTTTTTACCTATGAACAGTTTTTACAGCTCATGTACCATTTAAGCCTACTTTGCACAATGGTACCTCCTTAAATTTGATAAACCAAAATGACTGATGTAAAATGAAGATTGTCTAAGAAATGGCTGAAAGCACACCAGGCTGATTACTACAGAGTCACTGGAGCCTGTAAGGTGATAACTTCTAACTTGTCAACACAAGTTTTTACCTCGACTGGTCAAGTTATTAATCTTTGCAAATAATTGTCCCTAGTATTTTTGGCTCAAACCAGCCCCTCACAAAAGGTGGAGAGCAAATTCACAACAAACTGTTAACCAGAAATTCACAACATCTCAGCGAGCTCATCTTTAAGTATGATTTACCCAAACCAAGCTGAGAAGTAAGTGTCACCCCACTGTGCTTTCACTGTCACTCAGCTGACTCACTTCTGGTCCTTGTATCTAGTTTATCATAGTATTATATGTCAGATTTACTATAACATTTTTACATTTTCACTCCACTACATCTCAGAAGTGTTAATGCACTTACTAAAATTGTAAACAGAAGTAAAATCTTACACATCTGAGACCACACACCTGTTTATAAAGCTATAAAATTGGCAAGTTTAACTTTAAGGGTTGACTTTTTTTTGTTATTATTTTAAGCACCTCATACAACCCTACTGAAAAAGGGTGAACTTACTGTCCCATAAACGTTCATGGATATAAAGAAAAACTGCAACATTACAGAGATTTTAATCTGATTTTTGTACTTGCAGCAGAGTAGTTTCAAAGTGTTTTATTAGTACATTTCCTCTTGCCCCTGGCATGTATATGTTTTAGCAGAGAGGGGCCACAGATCTAAGTTATCACATCTATCATCAGGACTTAAGTGGTGGCATGTCTCATTTCTGGCATGACAATTTTTCACTCATTTTTTCTTATCATAGCTTGTTATCACTCATTATCACACCTGCCTTACGCCCAATTTCCACCGCATCCAGAACGGCTACGAAAAGGCCACATCCACCGATCATAGCTGATCGTAACCATTAAAGTTAATGTGTAAATTTTCACTGGCTTCTTTCTGTTCTGCTGTGGATCGCGGATCGGATTAATAAAGTTATTCTTATTCTTATTCTTGTGCTCTGGATGTACCTCCACATCTCTGATACACACCTGTCATCCCTCTACCTTTTTCTGCATAACAATTGGTAACCTGGCTACGTGCTCCTCTGCTTTTGTGTTATGTAAATATTGACTCTATTGTCTTATTTCATCAAAAACAAAAGAAGAGGAAGGAAAGGTGAAGACATTCACTCAGCTGTTATTATGATGAATCAAATAAAATAGGTAGCTGCCCCAGCACCAGAAGATTAAATAATATCAACCCCAAAGTGCTCCAACTCCAGAAAACGCCTGATATGGCTGATTATAGTCCGACCCTGACTCTGTCAAGTTGGTTGATGGTAGACTCTCTTCTGATCTTTTGAAAAATCACAAAACACAAGTGAATGTTGCTCTGAAAGTTTATTGATTTCATGTGGATAGATATGGGACATTCCCTCTGACATGGATTTCTGTTTAACATCATACATAAAGTCATGTCTGCAAAGGTCAAAGGTCAATATTTTGTTATGCAACGTTGAATGTTTCACTTTGCATCTACGTTGAATTTAGCTGCACAAGTACACATACATACAACAGATGGATCTGATCATGATTATGAAAATTCAATAATCAATTTTTGCAGCTTTGCAGTTAAGATTGCTGTAAAATCCTATACTCTCCAAGACATATATAACTTTACATCTGGTCAGCTTTCTTGACTTTTTCTTTGCTATCTTGAACATTTCATAAGGTGGGATAAGCACCTCTTCCTCTCTGTCCCCCAAGCACGGATATTTTTTCAGATAGGCACCATGGCAGGTCTGAATTTCAAAACAGGTCTTGACACCAAAATGATATAGATCTGTTCTCTTCGAGGTGGAGGTGAAGAAACCAAACCGAATCAATTGATTGACTTTGCCGGTGAACATCAGATTGCTTCTGCGGTAAACAGTGAAGCACTTTTTATTGTTGTTGAGGATCTGAATCGCTGACGTGAGCCAGAAATGCATGGAGTGAAACGGGAAAGTGGTGACATACTCTGTTCTGTTAGTTCGGACTGCAGCGTTGAACAGCTCATAGAATTTTGGATGACTAGAAGTGTAAACACAAATCGCCTTCAAATGATCCTTGGTCAGAGCTGCATCTTCTTTGTCCTTCTGTTTTGTTTTCTTCATTGCACACGTTTCTGCTTTTTTCCAGACTTTTTGAAATACTCCTCTATTCTCTCTGTCGAAGTACTTGTGTTTGACATTTTGCATCATCTGTGGTTTGCAGTCTGAGTACATGTCATCCACGGAGTCTTTAACCATGTCCAAAGGGATGGCGTGGTCGTTTTCTTGCTGGCTGATGATGTAACTGATCTGGTGGGGAAGGAGAAGAAAAATCCACTCTCTGTAAATACAGTTGCTACCGATAAATACTTAAAATCACTATTTGGTTGTCTGGTCTGGATTTTGACAGATTAAAACATGTCTGTACCATTCTTGTGCTTTTCCCTCTGTGCCGTTGTCACCTAACTCCCATTATACAGATTTAATTAAACCTATAGTGGATTTTTTCACCAACAAGAGGGGTAAGCAAAGGAGCATTTTAGCACAGAGTTTGACAACTAGATATTGCTAACTTTTCCCATTTTGACAAACTGTGCCTTTAAATTCATTGACCCGATCATCACAGCATTGAAATGAAAAATAATCTTTGTTTTAGAGCTGACAATGGTGGAGGAATAAAAAATAAATATCAGCACCTTGTGTGCCATAATGGAAAAGGAAAAGCACATCAGTAGCAAATTCAGGATTATGACACAATTTGTCAAGTTTAAAAAGTAGATGTGTTAGATTAAACTCACTTTCTTGGAGCACAGGGGTGGCACCCAGAAAAGCAGCAACAGTGGAGCTAAAATGTGGATAAGACCCTTCATCTCTGCAGCTACAAAGGACAAACAGCTTCTAAATTTAAGCACAAAAACACACAAGGAAGAGATGCCAGCCATTGAATAACAAAAGCTTAATATTGATTATACCTCAGTTCTCAATTTCCACCTTAAACATCTACAATGAAAAACAAATAAACAGTTTCACCCTTCAGCTGATTGGAGACATACCTTGTCTGGTCCCGAGCAGGTAGCAGGTTACTTAATACCTAACCTGCAAACATGCATACACACTTTCTGTGGACGTTCTCATAAATGTGTCATGAATGTTGGTTCAGAGTGTCTGCTTGTCCTCTGGGGTCTTTTTGAGAACATGCTGCTTCCTCTAAAGGAAATGAGGTTTAGCTTTACCAGAAAGGTGAAACTTTCTCCGTGAGAACTTTTCAAACCCATATGAAACAGCTTCAAGCTCCACCTATGATTCATTAAACCAACTAGGCCTACATCAACATGCAATAAAACTTCTGAGTCATTGAAGCCTTTTAGTTTTTAGTTTTTAGTTTTTATAAGCTGTCTAAACGAGTCAGACAGACTAAAATAGAGGTACAATTGCGAACCAAAACTATCTTAAATTCCTTATAAATCATCTTTATTTTTTTAAATGAGATGGTCATTCTTTACCTTTTAAACCTTTACCTCTATGCTGAACCAAACACCAACATGAGTGGCAATTTAAAGTAATTTGATTTGCAGCTAAAAAAAACCCGTCTTGTTTATTTTTACCATGTAAGCCAACTCCATGAAGTAGTTTTGGCTGCTTTTCCAGAGGTATTAAGTGACATGCAGCTTGTGGGTGTTACTTTCATGTAACAGAAAATATCCAAGACTTGCTGCTAGCTGAGCATTATTAGCAGATAGCTGCCCATCCATCCATCTATTTTCTACCGCTTCTTCTCATTTAAGGCTGGAGCCTCTCCCAGCATCTTCGGGGGGAGGGCAGGGGACACCCAGGACAAGTCGCCAGTTCATCGCAGGGCTGACATACAGAAACAAACAACCATCCACACTCACATTCACACCTACAGGCAATTTGAAAGTGGCCAATTAACCTAACCCCACTTCTACATGTTTTTGGGATGTGGGAGGAAACTGGAGCAAACCCAAGCAGACACAGGGAGAACATGCAAACTCCACACAGAAACACTCTGACCCAGATTCAAACCCAGGACCTTCTTACTGTGAGGCGACAGTGCTAACCACTACACCACTGTGCCACCCCCAGATAGCTTTCGTTAACTTAATTTTGTTACTTATAGTTTGTGGTTGGTTTTTGTAAACTGGACAGCCCCAGATTTTGGTTACACCTTAACATTATCATAGTATGGGTCAGCAAAACAGACTCCCTTTAATAGAGAGGGGTTTGTAACACTTTAAAGAGCATCTTTGACTCCATTGTCTTGAAGTGTTTCTGCATTAGAAAGTGTATCTAATAGTGTGTCAGGATGAACTATAACAGAACTTTAAAACCGAGGCAGCCCAAGCCCTCATTATTCCCATTATTAACGCCACTGTGATGACATACTGACATGTTTTCCAGGTCGACTACCTCTGGAAGGTGTTGTGTTTCCAAAAATCTCCAGCAGATGACAGCATTGTCTTGTTAAGTGGACCCGGACTTGCCTGAGCTCTTCTCATCACAGTTTTTGTTGGTATGTTTTTGTGTGTGTGTGAGAGAGAGAGTATTTGTGTCTGAGCCTGACCCTCACCCTTACAGGATTTTGATTATTTTTCAATTTTATTCTCAGCTGAGGCAACGCTGTGAGAAAGGGTTACAAGGGAGGATGAATGGAGATTCAAGTAAAGGAGGAACAAATGGATTCTGCAAACTGACAGGGGGGTACAAAATGCACCGAGAACCAATAAATAGCAATGTAGAGAAGACAGGGAGTTTTCTTGTTTTCTTTTCTTTTTTTTCTGTATTTTGTGAGGAAAAAGAGCAAAATGTTTTCTTCTATCTGATAATATACATCTGCCCACTACAGGCCAGGCATAGATGACTGAAACAGAAAGAGCAAGGAGAGAAAATTTTAAAAGACAGGAGCACAAAATGCGAGTGTTAGTGCAACAAACAGTAGATAAAGCTCACAAGAGAAAGGTTTGGATTTAGTTTAGCAGCAGGAATGCAATAAGGCAGCAAAGGGAGATCAAACAATAATACAGAGAAAATGAGAATATGCAGCTGGGTCAAAGTATTTTGGTATGTGTGCAGATTTCTTGAGTTTTCCTCACACTTTCATGCTTAAAAACCGTATGGAGCAAAAACTGTGGGACAGGCTGGTTTTGGATGGGGAGAAGGGGCGTGGAAAGACAAAAAAACGGGATACAAACTGAATTACTGGTAGAGCATGAGCAGGGGGAGAATGTGAGAAAAAAATGTGGCTAAGAGAAGGGTAAGTGGCAAGAGATGGTGATATGAGATCTGGCAAAGATAGGGTAGTGGGCTAAAAATAAGGAGACAGAAAAGGGTGAGGAGGAAGTGTGATATGGAGGTGATGTTTGAGGGTTTAGACAGTCAGAGGAGAGAGGAGGGGTGAGAAAAACGACAATGATGGAAAAGATCCAGATGGGTCCAGGTGGGAAGAAAGGCTGGGAGACACTGAGCAACTTTTTAAAAAGGGAATTGAAGTCAGAGGATGTGGAGGGAGAAAAAAAGAGGAAAGAGAATAAAGTAACAAGGAAAAGTAGAAAAAAAAAAGAAGTGGGAGGGAAAATAAGCAAATAAGCAAAAGAGGCTGGGTAGATTTGTATTAAGAGGAGAACAAAACCTTGGTGAGTTAAAAACCACAGAAAAATAAAACCCACAGAAGACAACATAGAGGGTCAAAATGTAGTGGAAGGAAGCAGGGACACACACCCTCCAGAGTCATTGTGAGGCAAGGTTTTTATGTTGTTTTTTAATGGAGAAGCTAAACAACAGGGGAGGAAGAAAAATTACACCTTCAAAACTTCAGCTAAAAATTAAAATCAGTCACCCACTCAAAATGTGACTATAGTTTGCAGAGATGACATCTAAATTAGGGCTTAAAATCCATAGAGTGTGAAAAACATGGATGTAGTTTCTGTGGCATCACCCCTTAGTCTTACAAAAGACCTTTTGAAGGTTTGGATGAAGGGCGCCAAATGCTAACTCAGAGACAGGCAAGGAGCTGGAGCTGAGGTGGGATTTCAGCCTCCTGATGAAAGTCATACTGCACCCACCCGTCTGTCAGCTCAGCTGTGCCCCTAACTTTCCATCTCCTACGTTCTATATCATTTCAGTAGATGCATTTTCATCAAATACATCCTGCACAGTGTAATTAAAGAAGCTACATACACCAAAACCAGTCTTTGCACTGAGCTATGAACATGCTAAGTGCTAAGCTAACATTAACCCTAACCCTAACCCTAGCCCCAACCCTAACCCTAACCCTAGCTCTAACCCTAACCCTAACCCTAACCCTAGCTCCAACCCTAACCCTAGCTCCAACACTTACCCTAACTCCAACCCTAACCCTAACCCTAACCCTAGCTCCAACCCTAACCCTAACCCTAACCCATGCATTCCTATGGGAAAAAATCAAATTTTTTTAGGAACGTCCTAGAGACTCGGGAGTTGGTTCATTGCACTCAGAAAAATCCTAGCTCCAAGCCCAACCCTAACCCTAGCTCCAACACTAACCCTAACTCCAACCCTAACCCTAACCCTAACCCTAGCTCCAACCCTAACCCTAACCCTAACCCATGCATTCCTATGGGAAAAAATCAATTTTTTTTAGGAACGTCCTAGAGACTCGGGAGTTGGTTCATTGCACTCAGAAAAATCCTAGCTCCAAGCCCAACCCTAACCCTAACTCCAACCCTAACCCTTACCCTAACCCTAGCTCCAACCCTAACCCTAACCCTAACCCATGCATTCCTATGGGAAAAATTAAAATTTTTTTAGGAACGTCCTAGAGACTCGGGAGTTGGTTCATTGCACTCAGAAAAATCCTAGCTCCAAGCCCAACCCTAACCCTAGCTCCAACACTAACCCTAATTCCAACCCTAACCCTAACCCTAACCCTAGCGCCAACCCTAACCCTAACCCTAACCCATGCATTCCTATGGGAAAAAATCAATTTTTTTTAAGGAACGTCCTAGAGACTCGGGAGTTGGTTCATTGCACTCAGAAAAATCCTAGCTCCAAGCCCAACCCTAACCCTAGCTCCAACACTAACCCTAACTCCAACCCTAACCCTAACCCTAACCCTAGCTCCAACCCTAACCCTAACCCTAAACCATGCATTCCTATGGGAAAAAATCAAATTTTTTTAGGAACGTCCTAGGGACTCGGGAGTTGGTTCATTGCACTCAGAAAAATCCTAGCTCCAAGCCCAACCCTAACCCTAGCTCCAACACTAACCCTAACTCCAACCCTAACCCTAACCCTAACCCTAGCTCCAACCCTAACCCTAACCCTAACCCATGCATTCCTATGGGAAAAAATCAAATTTTTTTAGGAACGTCCTAGAGACTCGGGAGTTGGTTCATTGCACTCAGAAAAATCCTAGCTCCAAGCCCAACCCTAACCCTAGCTCCAACACTAACCCTAACTCCAACCCTAACCCTAACCCTAACCCTAGCTCCAACCCTAACCCTAACCCTAACCCATGCATTCCTATGGGAAAAAATCAAATTTTTTTAGGAACGTCCTAGAGACTCGGGAGTTGGTTCATTGCACTCAGAAAAATCCTAGCTCCAAGCCCAACCCTAACCCTAGCTCCAACCCTAACCCTAACTCCAACCCTAACCCTAACCCTAACCCTAGCTCCAACCCTAACCCTAACCCTAACCCATGCATTCCTATGGGAAAAAATCAAATTTTTTTAGGAACGTCCTAGAGACTCGGGAGTTGGTTCATTGCACTCAGAAAAATCCTAGCTCCAAGCCCAACCCTAACCCTAGCTCCAACACTAACCCTAACTCCAACCCTAACCCTAACCCTAACCCTAGCTCCAACCCTAACCCTAACCCTAACCCATGCATTCCTATGGGAAAAAATCAAATTTTTTTAGGAACGTCCTAGAGACTCGGGAGTTGGTTCATTGCACTCAGAAAAATCCTAGCTCCAAGCCCAACCCTAACCCTAGCTCCAACACTAACCCTAACTCCAACCCTAACCCTAACCCTAACCCTAGCTCCAACCCTAACCCTAACCCTAACCCATGCATTCCTATGGGAAAAAATCAAATTTTTTTAAGACGTCCAAGGGACTCGGGAGTTGGTTCATTGCACTCAGAAAAATCCTAGCTCCAAGCCCAACCCTAACCCTAGCTCCAACACTAACCCTAACTCCAACCCTAACCCTAACCCTAACCCTAGCTCCAACCCTAACCCTAACCCTAACCCATGCATTCCTATGGGAAAAAATCAAATTTTTTTAGGAACGTCCTAGAGACTCGGGAGTTGGTTCATTGCACTCAGAAAAATCCTAGCTCCAAGCCCAACCCTAACCCTAGCTCCAACACTAACCCTAACTCCAACCCTAACCCTAACCCTAACCCTAGCTCCAACCCTAACCCTAACCCTAACCCATGCATTCCTATGGGAAAAAATCTAATTTTTTTAGGAACGTCCTAGAGACTCGGGAGTTGGTTCATTGCATTCAGAAAAATCCTAGCTCCAAGCCCAACCCTAACCCTAGCTCCAACACTAACCCTAACTCCAACCCTAACCCTAACCCTAACCCTAGCTCCAACCCTAACCCTAACCCTAACCCATGCATTCCTATGGGAAAAAATCATTTTTTTTAGGAACGTCCTAGAGACTCGGGAGTTGGTTCATTGCACTCAGAAAAATCCTAGCTCCAAGCCCAACCCTAACCCTAGCTCCAACACTAACCCTAACTCCAACCCTAACCCTAACCCTAACCCTAGCTCCAACACTAACCCTAACCCTAACCCATGCATTCCTATGGGAAAAAATCAAATTTTTTTAGGAACGTCCTAGAGACTCGGGAGTTGGTTCATTGCACTCAGAAAAATCCTAGCTCCAAGCCCAACCCTAACCCTAGCTCCAACACTAACCCTAACTCCAACCCTAACCCTAACCCTAACCCTAGCTCCAACCCTAACCCTAACCCTAACCCATGCATTCCTATGGGAAAAAATCTAACTTTTTTAGGAACGTCCTAGAGACTCGGGAGTTGGTTCATTGCATTCAGAAAAATCCTAGCTCCAAGCCCAACCCTAACCCTAGCTCCAACACTAACCCTAACTCCAACCCTAACCCTAGCTCCAACCCTAACCCTAACCCTAACCCTAACCCTAACCCATGCATTCCTATGGGAAAAAAATCAAATTTTTTTAGGAACGTCCTAGAGACTCGGGAGTTGGTTCATTGCACTCAGAAAAATCCTAGCTCCAAGCCCAACCCTAACCCTAGCTCCAACACTAACCCTAACTCCAACCCTAACCCTAACCCTAACCCTAGCTCCAACCCTAACCCTAACCCTAGCCCATGCATTCCTATGGGAAAAAATCAAATTTTTTTAGGAACGTCCTAGAGACTCGGGAGTTGGTTCATTGCACTCAGAAAAATCCTAGCTCCAAGCCCAACCCTAACCCTAGCTCCAACACTAACCCTAACTCCAACCCTAACCCTAACCCTAACCCTAGCGCCAACCCTAACCCTAACCCTAACCCATGCATTCCTATGGGAAAAAATCAATTTTTTTTTAGGAACGTCCTAGAGACTCGGGAGTTGGTTCATTGCACTCAGAAAAATCCTAGCTCCAAGCCCAACCCTAACCCTAGCTCCAACACTAACCCTAACTCCAACCCTAACCCTAACCCTAACCCTAGCTCCAACCCTAACCCTAACCCTAACCCATGCATTCCTATGGGAAAAAATCAAATTTTTTTAAGACGTCCAAGGGACTCGGGAGTTGGTTCATTGCACTCAGAAAAATCCTAGCTCCAAGCCCAACCCTAACCCTAGCTCCAACACTAACCCTAACTCCAACCCTAACCCTAACCCTAACCCTAGCTCCAACCCTAACCCTAACCCTAACCCATGCATTCCTATGGGAAAAAATCAAATTTTTTTAGGAACGTCCTAGAGACTCGGGAGTTGGTTCATTGCACTCAGAAAAATCCTAGCTCCAAGCCCAACCCTAACCCTAGCTCCAACACTAACCCTAACTCCAACCCTAACCCTAACCCTAACCCTAGCTCCAACCCTAACCCTAACCCTAACCCATGCATTCCTATGGGAAAAAATCAAATTTTTTTAGGAACGTCCTAGAGACTCGGGAGTTGGTTCATTGCATTCAGAAAAATCCTAGCTCCAAGCCCAACCCTAACCCTAGCTCCAACACTAACCCTAACTCCAACCCTAACCCTAGCTCCAACCCTAACCCTAACCCTAACCCTAACCCATGCATTCCTATGGGAAAAAAATCAAATTTTTTTAGGAACGTCCTAGAGACTCGGGAGTTGGTTCATTGCACTCAGAAAAATCCTAGCTCCAAGCCCAACCCTAACCCTAGCTCCAACACTAACCCTAACTCCAACCCTAACCCTAACCCTAACCCTAGCTCCAACCCTAACCCTAACCCTAACCCATGCATTCCTATGGGAAAAAATCATTTTTTTTAGGAACGTCCTAGAGACTCGGGAGTTGGTTCATTGCACTCAGAAAAATCCTAGCTCCAAGCCCAACCCTAACCCTAGCTCCAACACTAACCCTAACTCCAACCCTAACCCTAACCCTAACCCTAGCTCCAACACTAATCCTAACCCTAACCCATGCATTCCTATGGGAAAAAAATCATTTTTTTTAGGAACGTCCTAGAGACTCGGGAGTTGGTTCATTGCACTCAGAAAAATCCTAGCTCCAAGCCCAACCCTAACCCTAGCTCCAACACTAACCCTAACTCCAACCCTAACCCTAACCCTAACCCTAGCTCCAACACTAACCCTAACCCTAACCCATGCATTCCTATGGGAAAAAATCAAATTTTTTTAGGAACGTCCTAGAGACTCGGGAGTTGGTTCATTGCACTCAGAAAAATCCTAGCTCCAAGCCCAACCCTAACCCTAGCTCCAACACTAACCCTAACTCCAACCCTAACCCTAACCCTAACCCTAGCTCCAACCCTAACCCTAACCCTAACCCATGCATTCCTATGGGAAAAAATCAAATTTTTTTAGGAACGTCCTAGAGACTCGGGAGTTTGTTCATTGCACTCAGAAAAATCCTAGCTCCAAGCCCAACCCTAACCCTAGCTCCAACACTAACCCTAACTCCAACCCTAACCCTAACCCTAACCCTAGCTCCAACCCTAACCCTAACCCTAACCCATGCATTCCTATGGGAAAAAATCAAATTTTTTAAGGAACGTCCTAGAGACTCGGGAGTTGGTTCATTGCACTCAGAAAAATCCTAGCTCCAAGCCCAACCCTAACCCTAGCTCCAACACTAACCCTAACTCCAACCCTAACCCTAACCCTAACCCTAGCTCCAACCCTAACCCTAACCCTAACCCATGCATTCCTATGGGAAAAAATCTTTTTATAGGAACGTCCTAGAGACTCGGGAGTTGGTTCATTGCACTCAGAAAAATCCTAGCTCCAAGCCCAACCCTAACCCTAGCTCCAACACTAACCCTAACTCCAACCCTAACCCTAACCCTAACCCTAGCTCCAACCCTAACCCTAACCCTAACCCATGCATTCCTATGGGAAAAAATCAATTTTTTTAGGAACGTCCTAGAGACTCGGGAGTTGGTTCATTGCACTCAGAAAAATCCTAGCTCCAAGCCCAACCCTAACCCTAGCTCCAACACTAACCCTAACTCCAACCCTAACCCTAACCCTAACCCTAGCTCCAACCCTAACCCTAACCCTAACCCATGCATTCCTATGGGAAAAAATCAATTTTTTTTAGGAACGTCCTAGAGACTCGGGAGTTGGTTCATTGCACTCAGAAAAATCCTAGCTCCAAGCCCAACCCTAACCCTAGCTCCAACACTAACCCTAACTCCAACCCTAACCCTAACCCTAACCCTAGCTCCAACCCTAACCCTAACCCTAACCCATGCATTCCTATGGGAAAAAATCAAATTTTTTTAGGAACGTCCTAGAGACTCGGGAGTTGGTTCATTGCACTCAGAAAAATCCTAGCTCCAAGCCCAACCCTAACCCTAGCTCCAACACTAACCCTAATTCCAACCCTAACCCTAACCCTAGCTCCAACCCTAACCCTAACCCTAACCCTAACCCATGCATTCCTATGGGAAAAAATCAATTTTTTTAGGAACGTCCTAGAGACTCGGGAGTTTGTTCATTGCACTCAGAAAAATCCTAGCTCCAAGCCCAACCCTAACCCTAACTCCAACACTAACCCTAATTCCAACCCTAACCCTAACCCTAGCTCCAACCCTAACCCTAACCCTAACCCTAACCCATGCATTCCTATGGGAAAAAATCAAATTTTTTTAGGAACGTCCTGGAGACTCGGGAGTTTGTTCATTGCACTCAGAAAAATCCTAGCTCCAAGCCCAACCCTAACCCTAGCTCCAACACTAACCCTAACTCCAACCCTAACCCTAACCCTAACCCTAGCTCCAACCCTAACCCTAACCCTAACCCATGCATTCCTATGGGAAAAAATCAAATTTTTTAAGGAACGTCCTAGAGACTCGGGAGTTGGTTCATTGCACTCAGAAAAATCCTAGCTCCAAGCCCAACCCTAACCCTAGCTCCAACACTAACCCTAACTCCAACCCTAACCCTAACCCTAACCCTAGCTCCAACCCTAACCCTAACCCTAACCCATGCATTCCTATGGGAAAAAATCTAACTTTTTTAGGAACGTCCTAGAGACTCGGGAGTTGGTTCATTGCATTCAGAAAAATCCTAGCTCCAAGCCCAACCCTAACCCTAGCTCCAACACTAACCCTAACTCCAACCCTAACCCTAGCTCCAACCCTAACCCTAACCCTAACCCTAACCCTAACCCATGCATTCCTATGGGAAAAAAATCAAATTTTTTTAGGAACGTCCTAGAGACTCGGGAGTTGGTTCATTGCACTCAGAAAAATCCTAGCTCCAAGCCCAACCCTAACCCTAGCTCCAACACTAACCCTAACTCCAACCCTAACCCTAACCCTAACCCTAGCTCCAACCCTAACCCTAACCCTAGCCCATGCATTCCTATGGGAAAAAATCAAATTTTTTTAGGAACGTCCTAGAGACTCGGGAGTTGGTTCATTGCACTCAGAAAAATCCTAGCTCCAAGCCCAACCCTAACCCTAGCTCCAACACTAACCCTAACTCCAACCCTAACCCTAACCCTAACCCTAGCGCCAACCCTAACCCTAACCCTAACCCATGCATTCCTATGGGAAAAAATCAATTTTTTTTAGGAACGTCCTAGAGACTCGGGAGTTGGTTCATTGCACTCAGAAAAATCCTAGCTCCAAGCCCAACCCTAACCCTAGCTCCAACACTAACCCTAACTCCAACCCTAACCCTAACCCTAACCCTAGCTCCAACCCTAACCCTAACCCTAACCCATGCATTCCTATGGGAAAAAATCAAATTTTTTTAGGAACGTCCTAGAGACTCGGGAGTTTGTTCATTGCACTCAGAAAAATCCTAGCTCCAAGCCCAACCCTAACCCTAGCTCCAACACTAACCCTAACTCCAACCCTAACCCTAACCCTAACCCTAGCTCCAACCCTAACCCTAACCCTAACCCATGCATTCCTATGGGAAAAAATCAAATTTTTTAAGGAACGTCCTAGAGACTCGGGAGTTGGTTCATTGCACTCAGAAAAATCCTAGCTCCAAGCCCAACCCTAACCCTAGCTCCAACACTAACCCTAACTCCAACCCTAACCCTAACCCTAACCCTAGCTCCAACCCTAACCCTAACCCTAACCCATGCATTCCTATGGGAAAAAATCTTTTTTTTATAGGAACGTCCTAGAGACTCGGGAGTTGGTTCATTGCACTCAGAAAAATCCTAGCTCCAAGCCCAACCCTAACCCTAGCTCCAACACTAACCCTAACTCCAACCCTAACCCTAACCCTAACCCTAGCTCCAACCCTAACCCTAACCCTAACCCATGCATTCCTATGGGAAAAAATCAATTTTTTTTAGGAACGTCCTAGAGACTCGGGAGTTGGTTCATTGCACTCAGAAAAATCCTAGCTCCAAGCCCAACCCTAACCCTAGCTCCAACACTAACCCTAACTCCAACCCTAACCCTAACCCTAACCCTAGCTCCAACCCTAACCCTAACCCTAACCCATGCATTCCTATGGGAAAAAATCAATTTTTTTAGGAACGTCCTAGAGACTCGGGAGTTGGTTCATTGCACTCAGAAAAATCCTAGCTCCAAGCCCAACCCTAACCCTAGCTCCAACACTAACCCTAACTCCAACCCTAACCCTAACCCTAACCCTAGCTCCAACCCTAACCCTAACCCTAACCCATGCATTCCTATGGGAAAAAATCAAATTTTTTTAGGAACGTCCTAGAGACTCGGGAGTTGGTTCATTGCACTCAGAAAAATCCTAGCTCCAAGCCCAACCCTAACCCTAGCTCCAACACTAACCCTAATTCCAACCCTAACCCTAACCCTAGCTCCAACCCTAACCCTAACCCTAACCCTAACCCATGCATTCCTATGGGAAAAAATCAATTTTTTTTAGGAACGTCCTAGAGACTCGGGAGTTTGTTCATTGCACTCAGAAAAATCCTAGCTCCAAGCCCAACCCTAACCCTAACTCCAACACTAACCCTAATTCCAACCCTAACCCTAACCCTAGCTCCAACCCTAACCCTAACCCTAACCCTAACCCATGCATTCCTATGGGAAAAAATCAAATTTTTTTAGGAACGTCCTGGAGACTCGGGAGTTTGTTCATTGCACTCAGAAAAATCCTAGCTCCAAGCCCAACCCTAACCCTAGCTCCAACACTAACCCTAACTCCAACCCTAACCCTAACCCTAACCCTAGCTCCAACCCTAACCCTAACCCTAACCCATGCATTCCTATGGGAAAAAATCAAATTTTTTAAGGAACGTCCTAGAGACTCGGGAGTTGGTTCATTGCACTCAGAAAAATCCTAGCTCCAAGCCCAACCCTAACCCTAGCTCCAACACTAACCCTAGCTCCAACCCTAACCCTAACCCTAACCCTAGCTCCAACCCTAACCCTAACCCTAACCCATGCATTCCTATGGGAAAAAATCTTTTTTTTATAGGAACGTCCTAGAGACTCGGGAGTTGGTTCATTGCACTCAGAAAAATCCTAGCTCCAAGCCCAACCCTAACCCTAGCTCCAACACTAACCCTAACTCCAACCCTAACCCTAACCCTAACCCTAACCCTAGCTCCAACCCTAACCCTAACCCTAACCCATGCATTCCTATGGGAAAAAATCAAATTTTTTTAGGAACGTCCTAGAGACTCGGGAGTTGGTTCATTGCACTCAGAAAAATCCTAGCTCCAAGCCCAACCCTAACCCTAGCTCCAACACTAACCCTAACTCCAACCCTAACCCTAGCTTCAACCCTAACCCTAACCCTAACCCATGCATTCCTATGGGAAAAAATCAATTTTTTTTAGGAACGTCCTAGAGACTCGGGAGTTGGTTCATTGCACTCAGAAAAATCCTAGCTCCAAGCCCAACCCTAACCCTAGCTCCAACACTAACCCTAACTCCAACCCTAACCCTAACCCTAACCCTAGCTCCAACCCTAACCCTAACCCTAACCCATGCATTCCTATGGGAAAAAATCAAATTTTTTTAGGAACGTCCTAGAGACTCGGGAGTTTGTTCATTGCACTCAGAAAAATCCTAGCTCCAAGCCCAACCCTAACCCTAGCTCCAACACTAACCCTAACTCCAACCCTAACCCTAACCCTAACCCTAGCTCCAACCCTAACCCTAACCCTAACCCATGCATTCCTATGGGAAAAAATCAAATTTTTTTAGGAACGTCCTAGAGACTCGGGAGTTGGTTCATTGCACTCAGAAAAATCCTAGCTCCAAGCCCAACCCTAACCCTAGCTCCAACACTAACCCTAATTCCAACCCTAACCCTAACCCTAGCTCCAACCCTAACCCTAACCCTAACCCTAACCCATGCATTCCTATGGGAAAAAATCAAATTTTTTTAGGAACGTCCTAGAGACTCGGGAGTTTGTTCATTGCACTCAGAAAAATCCTAGCTCCAAGCCCAACCCTAACCCTAGCTCCAACACTAACCCTAACTCCAACCCTAACCCTAACCCTAACCCTAGCTCCAACCCTAACCCTAACCCTAACCCATGCATTCCTATGGGAAAAAATCAAATTTTTTTAGGAACGTCCAAGGGACTCGGGAGTTGGTTCATTGCATTCAGAAAAATCCTAGCTCCAATCCCAACCCTAACCCTAGCTCCAACACTAACCCTAACTCCAACCCTAACCCTAGCTCCAACCCTAACCCTAACCCTAACCCTAACCCATGCATTCCTATGGGAAAAAAATCAAATTTTTTTAGGAACGTCCTAGAGACTCGGGAGTTGGTTCATTGCACTCAGAAAAATCCTAGCTCCAAGCCCAACCCTAACCCTAGCTCCAACACTAACCCTAACTCCAACCCTAACCCTAACCCTAACCCTAGCTCCAACCCTAACCCTAACCCTAACCCATGCATTCCTATGGGAAAAAATCTTTTTTTTATAGGAACGTCCTAGAGACTCGGGAGTTGGTTCATTGCACTCAGAAAAATCCTAGCTCCAAGCCCAACCCTAACCCTAGCTCCAACACTAACCCTAACTCCAACCCTAACCCTAACCCTAACCCTAGCGCAAACCCTAACCCTAACCCTAACCCATGCATTCCTATGGGAAAAAATCTAATTTTTTTTAAGGAACGTCCTAGAGACTCGGGAGTTGGTTCATTGCACTCAGAAAAATCCTAGCTCCAAGCCCAACCCTAACCCTAGCTCCAACACTAACCCTAACTCCAACCCTAACCCTAACCCTAACCCTAGCTCCAACCCTAACCCTAACCCTAAACCATGCATTCCTATGGGAAAAAATCAAATTTTTTTAGGAACGTCCAAGGGACTCGGGAGTTGGTTCATTGCACTCAGAAAAATCCTAGCTCCAAGCCCAACCCTAACCCTAGCTCCAACACTAACCCTAACTCCAACCCTAACCCTAACCCTAACCCTAGCTCCAACCCTAACCCTAACCCTAACCCATGCATTCCTATGGGAAAAAATCAAATTTTTTTAGGAACGTCCTAGAGACTCGGGAGTTGGTTCATTGCACTCAGAAAAATCCTAGCTCCAAGCCCAACCCTAACCCTAGCTCCAACACTAACCCTAACTCCAACCCTAACCCTAACCCTAACCCTAGCTCCAACCCTAACCCTAACCCTAAACCATGCATTCCTATGGGAAAAAATCAAATTTTTTTAGGAACGTCCTAGAGACTCAGGAGTTGGTTCATTGCACTCAGAAAAATCCTAGCTCCAAGCCCAACCCTAACCCTAGCTCCAACACTAACCCTAACTCCAACCCTAACCCTAACCCTAACCCTAGCTCCAACCCTAACCCTAACCCTAACCCATGCATTCCTATGGGAAAAAATCAAATTTTTTTAGGAACGTCCTAGAGACTCGGGAGTTGGTTCATTGCATTCAGAAAAATCCTAGCTCCAAGCCCAACCCTAACCCTAGCTCCAACACTAACCCTAACTCCAACCCTAACCCTAGCTCCAACCCTAACCCTAACCCTAACCCATGCATTCCTATGGGAAAAAATCAAATTTTTTTAGGAACGTCCTAGAGACTCGGGAGTTGGTTCATTGCACTCAGAAAAATCCTAGCTCCAAGCCCAACCCTAACCCTAGCTCCAACACTAACCCTAACTCCAACCCTAACCCTAACCCTAACCCTAGCTCCAACCCTAACCCTAACCCTAACCCATGCATTCCTATGGGAAAAAATCTTTTTTTTATAGGAACGTCCTAGAGACTCGGGAGTTGGTTCATTGCACTCAGAAAAATCCTAGCTCCTAGCCCAACCCTAACCCTAGCTCCAACACTAACCCTAACTCCAACCCTAACCCTAACCCTAACCCTAGCGCCAACCCTAACCCTAACCCTAACCCATGCATTCCTATGGGAAAAAAATCAATTTTTTTTAAGGAACGTCCTAGAGACTCGGGAGTTGGTTCATTGCACTCAGAAAAATCCTAGCTCCAAGCCCAACCCTAACCCTAGCTCCAACACTAACCCTAACTCCAACCCTAACCCTAACCCTAGCTCCAACCCTAACCCTAACCCTAACCCTAACCCATGCATTCCTATGGGAAAAAATCAAATTTTTTTAGGAACGTCCTAGAGACTCGGGAGTTTGTTCATTGCACTCAGAAAAATCCTAGCTCCAAGCCCAACCCTAACCCTAGCTCCAACACTAACCCTAACTCCAACCCTAACCCTAACCCTAACCCTAGCTCCAACCCTAACCCTAACTCTTACCCATGCATTCCTATGGGAAAAAATCATTTTTTTTAGGAACGTCCTAGAGACTCGGGAGTTGGTTCATTGCACTCAGAAAAATCCTAGCTCCAAGCCCAACCCTAACCCTAGCTCCAACACTAACCCTAACTCCAACCCTAACCCTAACCCTAACCCTAGCGCCAACCCTAACCCTAACCCTAACCCATGCATTCCTATGGGAAAAAATCAATTTTTTTTAAGGAACGTCCTAGAGACTCGGGAGTTGGTTCATTGCACTCAGAAAAATCCTAGCTCCAAGCCCAAGCCTAACCCTAGCTCCAACACTAACCCTAACTCCAACCCTAACCCTAACCCTAACCCTAGCTCCAACCCTAACCCTAACCCTAAACCATGCATTCCTATGGGAAAAAATCAAATTTTTTTAGGAACGTCCAAGGGACTCGGGAGTTGGTTCATTGCACTCAGAAAAATCCTAGCTCCAAGCCCAACCCTAACCCTAGCTCCAACACTAACCCTAACTCCAACCCTAACCCTAACCCTAACCCTAGCTCCAACCCTAACCCTAACCCTAACCCATGCATTCCTATGGGAAAAAATCTTTTTTTATAGGAACGTCCTAGAGACTCGGGAGTTGGTTCATTGCACTCAGAAAAATCCTAGCTCCAAGCCCAACCCTAACCCTAACTCCAACACTAACCCTAATTCCAACCCTAACCCTAACCCTAGCTCCAACCCTAACCCTAACCCTAACCCTAACCCATGCATTCCTATGGGAAAAAATCAAATTTTTTTAGGAACGTCCTAGAGACTCGGGAGTTTGTTCATTGCACTCAGAAAAATCCTAGCTCCAAGCCCAACCCTAACCCTAGCTCCAACACTAACCCTAACTCCAACCCTAACCCTAACCCTAACCCTAGCTCCAACCCTAACCCTAACCCTAACCCATGCATTCCTATGGGAAAAAATCAAATTTTTTAAGGAACGTCCTAGAGACTCGGGAGTTGGTTCATTGCACTCAGAAAAATCCTAGCTCCAAGCCCAACCCTAACCCTAGCTCCAACACTAACCCTAACTCCAACCCTAACCCTAACCCTAACCCTAGCTCCAACCCTAACCCTAACCCTAACCCATGCATTCCTATGGGAAAAAATCTTTTTTTATAGGAACGTCCTAGAGACTCGGGAGTTGGTTCATTGCACTCAGAAAAATCCTAGCTCCAAGCCCAACCCTAACCCTAGCTCCAACACTAACCCTAACTCCAACCCTAACCCTAACCCTAACCCTAGCTCCAACCCTAACCCTAACCCTAACCCATGCATTCCTATGGGAAAAAATCAAATTTTTTTAGGAACGTCCTAGAGACTCGGGAGTTGGTTCATTGCACTCAGAAAAATCCTAGCTCCAAGCCCAACCCTAACCCTAGCTCCAACACTAACCCTAACTCCAACCCTAACCCTAGCTTCAACCCTAACCCTAACCCTAACCCATGCATTCCTATGGGAAAAAATCAATTTTTTTTAGGAACGTCCTAGAGACTCGGGAGTTGGTTCATTGCACTCAGAAAAATCCTAGCTCCAAGCCCAACCCTAACCCTAGCTCCAACACTAACCCTAACTCCAACCCTAACCCTAACCCTAACCCTAGCTCCAACCCTAACCCTAACCCTAACCCATGCATTCCTATGGGAAAAAATCAAATTTTTTTAGGAACGTCCTAGAGACTCGGGAGTTTGTTCATTGCACTCAGAAAAATCCTAGCTCCAAGCCCAACCCTAACCCTAGCTCCAACACTAACCCTAACTCCAACCCTAACCCTAACCCTAACCCTAGCTCCAACCCTAACCCTAACCCTAACCCATGCATTCCTATGGGAAAAAATCAAATTTTTTTAGGAACGTCCTAGAGACTCGGGAGTTGGTTCATTGCACTCAGAAAAATCCTAGCTCCAAGCCCAACCCTAACCCTAGCTCCAACACTAACCCTAATTCCAACCCTAACCCTAACCCTAGCTCCAACCCTAACCCTAACCCTAACCCTAACCCATGCATTCCTATGGGAAAAAATCAAATTTTTTTAGGAACGTCCTAGAGACTCGGGAGTTTGTTCATTGCACTCAGAAAAATCCTAGCTCCAAGCCCAACCCTAACCCTAGCTCCAACACTAACCCTAACTCCAACCCTAACCCTAACCCTAACCCTAGCTCCAACCCTAACCCTAACCCTAACCCATGCATTCCTATGGGAAAAAATCAAATTTTTTTAGGAACGTCCAAGGGACTCGGGAGTTGGTTCATTGCATTCAGAAAAATCCTAGCTCCAATCCCAACCCTAACCCTAGCTCCAACACTAACCCTAACTCCAACCCTAACCCTAGCTCCAACCCTAACCCTAACCCTAACCCTAACCCATGCATTCCTATGGGAAAAAAATCAAATTTTTTTAGGAACGTCCTAGAGACTCGGGAGTTGGTTCATTGCACTCAGAAAAATCCTAGCTCCAAGCCCAACCCTAACCCTAGCTCCAACACTAACCCTAACTCCAACCCTAACCCTAACCCTAACCCTAGCTCCAACCCTAACCCTAACCCTAACCCATGCATTCCTATGGGAAAAAATCTTTTTTTATAGGAACGTCCTAGAGACTCGGGAGTTGGTTCATTGCACTCAGAAAAATCCTAGCTCCAAGCCCAACCCTAACCCTAGCTCCAACACTAACCCTAACTCCAACCCTAACCCTAACCCTAACCCTAGCGCAAACCCTAACCCTAACCCTAACCCATGCATTCCTATGGGAAAAAAATCTAATTTTTTTAAGGAACGTCCTAGAGACTCGGGAGTTGGTTCATTGCACTCAGAAAAATCCTAGCTCCAAGCCCAACCCTAACCCTAGCTCCAACACTAACCCTAACTCCAACCCTAACCCTAACCCTAACCCTAGCGCAAACCCTAACCCTAACCCTAACCCATGCATTCCTATGGGAAAAAATCTAATTTTTTTTAAGGAACGTCCTAGAGACTCGGGAGTTGGTTCATTGCACTCAGAAAAATCCTAGCTCCAAGCCCAACCCTAACCCTAGCTCCAACACTAACCCTAACTCCAACCCTAACCCTAACCCTAACCCTAGCTCCAACCCTAACCCTAACCCTAAACCATGCATTCCTATGGGAAAAAATCAAATTTTTTTAGGAACGTCCAAGGGACTCGGGAGTTGGTTCATTGCACTCAGAAAAATCCTAGCTCCAAGCCCAACCCTAACCCTAGCTCCAACACTAACCCTAACTCCAACCCTAACCCTAACCCTAACCCTAGCTCCAACCCTAACCCTAACCCTAACCCATGCATTCCTATGGGAAAAAATCAAATTTTTTTAGGAACGTCCTAGAGACTCGGGAGTTGGTTCATTGCACTCAGAAAAATCCTAGCTCCAAGCCCAACCCTAACCCTAGCTCCAACACTAACCCTAACTCCAACCCTAACCCTAACCCTAACCCTAGCTCCAACCCTAACCCTAACCCTAAACCATGCATTCCTATGGGAAAAAATCAAATTTTTTTAGGAACGTCCTAAAGACTCAGGAGTTGGTTCATTGCACTCAGAAAAATCCTAGCTCCAAGCCCAACCCTAACCCTAGCTCCAACACTAACCCTAACTCCAACCCTAACCCTAACCCTAACCCTAGCTCCAACCCTTACCCTAACCCTAACCCATGCATTCCTATGGGAAAAAATCAAATTTTTTTAGGAACGTCCTAGAGACTCGGGAGTTGGTTCATTGCATTCAGAAAAATCCTAGCTCCAAGCCCAACCCTAACCCTAGCTCCAACACTAACCCTAACTCCAACCCTAACCCTAGCTCCAACCCTAACCCTAACCCTAACCCATGCATTCCTATGGGAAAAAATCAAATTTTTTTAGGAACGTCCTAGAGACTCGGGAGTTGGTTCATTGCACTCAGAAAAATCCTAGCTCCAAGCCCAACCCTAACCCTAGCTCCAACACTAACCCTAACTCCAACCCTAACCCTAACCCTAACCCTAGCTCCAACCCTAACCCTAACCCTAACCCATGCATTCCTATGGGAAAAAATCTTTTTTTTATAGGAACGTCCTAGAGACTCGGGAGTTGGTTCATTGCACTCAGAAAAATCCTAGCTCCAAGCCCAACCCTAACCCTAGCTCCAACACTAACCCTAACTCCAACCCTAACCCTAACCCTAACCCTAGCGCCAACCCTAACCCTAACCCTAACCCATGCATTCCTATGGGAAAAAAATCAATTTTTTTTAAGGAACGTCCTAGAGACTCGGGAGTTGGTTCATTGCACTCAGAAAAATCCTAGCTCCAAGCCCAACCCTAACCCTAGCTCCAACACTAACCCTAACTCCAACCCTAACCCTAACCCTAGCTCCAACCCTAACCCTAACCCTAACCCTAACCCATGCATTCCTATGGGAAAAAATCAAATTTTTTTAGGAACGTCCTAGAGACTCGGGAGTTTGTTCATTGCACTCAGAAAAATCCTAGCTCCAAGCCCAACCCTAACCCTAGCTCCAACACTAACCCTAACTCCAACCCTAACCCTAACCCTAACCCTAGCTCCAACCCTAACCCTAACTCTTACCCATGCATTCCTATGGGAAAAAATCATTTTTTTTTAGGAACGTCCTAGAGACTCGGGAGTTGGTTCATTGCACTCAGAAAAATCCTAGCTCCAAGCCCAACCCTAACCCTAGCTCCAACACTAACCCTAACTCCAACCCTAACCCTAACCCTAACCCTAGCTCCAACCCTAACCCTAACCCTAACCCATGCATTCCTATGGGAAAAAATCTAATTTTTTTAGGAACGTCCTAGAGACTCGGGAGTTGGTTCATTGCACTCAGAAAAATCCTAGCTCCAAGCCCAACCCTAACCCTAGCTCCAACACTAACCCTAACTCCAACCCTAACCCTAACCCTAACCCTAGCTCCAACCCTAACCCTAACCCTAACCCATGCATTCCTATGGGAAAAAATCAATTTTTTTAGGAACGTCCTAGAGACTCGGGAGTTGGTTCATTGCACTCAGAAAAATCCTAGCTCCAAGCCCAACCCTAACCCTAGCTCCAACACTAACCCTAACTCCAACCCTAACCCTAGCTCCAACCCTTACCCTAACCCTAACCCATGCATTCCTATGGGAAAAAATCAAATTTTTTTAGGAACGTCCTAGAGACTCGGGAGTTGGTTCATTGCACTCAGAAAAATCCTAGCTCCAAGCCCAACCCTAACCCTAGCTCCAACACTAACCCTAACTCCAACCCTAACCCTAGCTCCAACCCTAACCCTAACTCTTACCCATGCATTCCTATGTGAAAAAATCAAATTTTTTTAGGAACGTCCCAGAGACTCGGGAGTTGCTTCATTGCACTCAGAAAAATCCTAGCTCCAAGCCCAACCCTAACCCTAGCTCCAACACTAACCCTAACTCCAACCCTAACCCTAACCCTAACCCTAGCTCCAACCCCACACCTAACCCTAACCCTAGCTCCAACCCTAACCCTAACCCTAACCCTAACCCATGCATTCCTATGGGAAAAAATCAAATTTTTTTAGGAACGTCCTAGAGACTCGGGAGTTGGTTCATTGCACTCAGAAAAATCCTAGCTCCAAGCCCAACCCTAACCCTAGCTCCAACACTAACCCTAACTCCAACCCTAACCCTAACCCTAACCCTAGCTCCAACCCTAACCCTAACCCTAACCCATGCATTCCTATGGGAAAAAATCATTTTTTTAAGGAACGTCCTAGAGACTCGGGAGTTGGTTCATTGCACTCAGAAAAATCCTAGCTCCAAGCCCAACCCTAACCCTAGCTCCAACACTAACCCTAACTCCAACCCTAACCCTAACCCTAACCCTAGCTCCAACACTAACCCTAACCCTAACCCATGCATTCTTATGGGAAAAAATCATTTTTTTTAGGAACGTCCTAGAGACTCGGGAGTTGGTTCATTGCACTCAGAAAAATCCTAGCTCCAAGCCCAACCCTAACCCTAGCTCCAACACTAACCCTAACTCCAACCCTAACCCTAACCCTAACCCTAGCTCCAACACTAACCCTAACCCTAACCCATGCATTCCTATGGGAAAAAATCAAATTTTTTTAGGAACGTCCTAGAGACTCGGGAGTTGGTTCATTGCACTCAGAAAAATCCTAGCTCCAAGCCCAACCCTAACCCTAGCTCCAACACTAACCCTAACTCCAACCCTAACCCTAACCCTAACCCTAGCTCCAACCCTAACCCTAACCCTAACCCATGCATTCCTATGGGAAAAAATCAAATTTTTTTAGGAACGTCCTAGAGACTCGGGAGTTGGTTCATTGCACTCAGAAAAATCCTAGCTCCAAGCCCAACCCTAACCCTAGCTCCAACACTAACCCTAACTCCAACCCTAACCCTAACCCTAACCCTAGCTCCAACCCTAACCCTAACCCTAACCCATGCATTCCTATGGGAAAAAATCAAATTTTTTTAGGAACGTCCAAGGGACTCGGGAGTTGGTTCATTGCATTCAGAAAAATCCTAGCTCCAATCCCAACCCTAACCCTAGCTCCAACACTAACCCTAACTCCAACCCTAACCCTAGCTCCAACCCTAACCCTAACCCTAACCCTAACCCATGCATTCCTATGGGAAAAAAATCAAATTTTTTTAGGAACGTCCTAGAGACTCGGGAGTTGGTTCATTGCACTCAGAAAAATCCTAGCTCCAAGCCCAACCCTAACCCTAGCTCCAACACTAACCCTAACTCCAACCCTAACCCTAACCCTAACCCTAGCTCCAACCCTAACCCTAACCCTAACCCATGCATTCCTATGGGAAAAAATCAAATTTTTTAGGAACGTCCTAGAGACTCGGGAGTTGGTTCATTGCACTCAGAAAAATCCTAGCTCCAAGCCCAACCCTAACCCTAGCTCCAACACTAACCCTAACTCCAACCCTAACCCTAGCTCCAACCCTTACCCTAACCCTAACCCATGCATTCCTATGGGAAAAAAATCAAATTTTTTTAGGAACGTCCTAGAGACTCGGGAGTTGGTTCATTGCACTCAGAAAAATCCTAGCTCCAAGCCCAACCCTAACCCTAGCTCCAACACTAACCCTAACTCCAACCCTAACCCTAGCTCCAACCCTAACCCTAACTCTTACCCATGCATTCCTATGTGAAAAAATCAAATTTTTTTAGGAACGTCCTAGAGACTCGGGAGTTGCTTCATTGCACTCAGAAAAATCCTAGCTCCAAGCCCAACCCTAACCCTAGCTCCAACACTAACCCTAACTCCAACCCTAACCCTAACCCTAACCCTAGCTCCAACCCTAACCCTAACCCTAACCCATGCATTCCTATGGGAAAAAATCATTTTTTTTAAGGAACGTCCTAGAGACTCGGGAGTTGGTTCATTGCACTCAGAAAAATCCTAGCTCCAAGCCCAACCCTAACCCTAGCTCCAACACTTACCCTAACTCCAACCCTAACCCTAACCCTAACCCTAGCTCCAACACTAACCCTAACCCTAACCCATGCATTCTTATGGGAAAAAATCATTTTTTTAGGAACGTCCTAGAGACTCGGGAGTTGGTTCATTGCACTCAGAAAAATCCTAGCTCCAAGCCCAACCCTAACCCTAGCTCCAACACTAACCCTAACTCCAACCCTAACCCTAACCCTAACCCTAGCTCCAACACTAACCCTAACCCTAACCCATGCATTCCTATGGGAAAAAATCAAATTTTTTTAGGAACGTCCTAGAGACTCGGGAGTTGGTTCATTGCACTCAGAAAAATCCTAGCTCCAAGCCCAACCCTAACCCTAGCTCCAACACTAACCCTAACTCCAACCCTAACCCTAACCCTAACCCTAGCTCCAACCCTAACCCTAACCCTAACCCATGCATTCCTATGGGAAAAAATCAAATTTTTTTAGGAACGTCCTAGAGACTCGGGAGTTGGTTCATTGCACTCAGAAAAATCCTAGCTCCAAGCCCAACCCTAACCCTAGCTCCAACACTAACCCTAACTCCAACCCTAACCCTAACCCTAACCCTAGCTCCAACCCTAACCCTAACCCTAACCCATGCATTCCCATGGGAAAAAATCAAATTTTTTTAGGAACGTCCAAGGGACTCGGGAGTTGGTTCATTGCATTCAGAAAAATCCTAGCTCCAATCCCAACCCTAACCCTAGCTCCAACACTAACCCTAACTCCAACCCTAACCCTAGCTCCAACCCTAACCCTAACCCTAACCCTAACCCATGCATTCCTATGGGAAAAAATCAAATTTTTTTAGGAACGTCCTAGAGACTCGGGAGTTGGTTCATTGCACTCAGAAAAATCCTAGCTCCAAGCCCAACCCTAACCCTAGCTCCAACACTAACCCTAACTCCAACCCTAACCCTAACCCTAACCCTAGCTCCAACCCTAACCCTAACCCTAACCCATGCATTCCTATGGGAAAAAAATCTTTTTTATAGGAACGTCCTAGAGACTCGGGAGTTGGTTCATTGCACTCAGAAAATCCTAGCTCCAAGCCCAACCCTAACCCTAGCTCCAACACTAACCCTAACTCCAACCCTAACCCTAACCCTAACCCTAGCTCCAACCCTAACCCTAACCCTAACCCATGCATTCCTATGGGAAAAAATCAAATTTTTTTAGGAACATCCTAGAGACTCGGGAGTTGGTTCATTGCACTCAGAAAAATCCTAGCTCCAAGCCCAACCCTAACCCTAGCTCCAACACTAACCCTAACTCCAACCCTAACCCTAACCCTAACCCTAGCTCCAACCCTAACCCTAACCCTAACCCATGCATTCCTATGGGAAAAAATCAAATTTTTTTAGGAACGTCCTAGAGACTCGGGAGTTGGTTCATTGCACTCAGAAAAATCCTAGCTCCAAGCCCAACCCTAACCCTAGCTCCAACACTAACCCTAACTCCAAACCTAACCCTAACCCTAACCCTAGCTCCAACCCTAACCCTAACCCTAACCCATGCATTCCTATGGGAAAAAATCAAATTTTTTTAGGAACGTCCTAGAGACTCGGGAGTTGGTTCATTGCACTCAGAAAAATCCTAGCTCCAAGCCCAACCCTAACCCTAGCTCCAACACTAACCCTAACTCCAACCCTAACCCTAACCCTAACCCTAGCTCCAACCCTAACCCTAACCCTAACCCATGCATTCCTATGGGAAAAAATCAAATTTTTTTAGGAACGTCCTAGAGACTCGGGAGTTGGTTCATTGCACTCAGAAAAATCCTAGCTCCAAGCCCAACCCTAACCCTAGCTCCAACACTAACCCTAACTCCAACCCTAACCCTAGCTCCAACCCTAACCCTAACCCTAACCCATGCATTCCTATGGGAAAAAATCAAATTTTTTTAGGAACGTCCTAGAGACTCGGGAGTTGGTTCATTGCACTCAGAAAAATCCTAGCTCCAAGCCCAACCCTAACCCTAGCTCCAACACTAACCCTAACTCCAACCCTAACCCTAACCCTAACCCTAGCTCCAACCCTAACCCTAACCCTAACCCATGCATTCCTATGGGAAAAAATCAAATTTTTTTAGGAATGTCCTAGAGACTCGGGAGTTGGTTCATTGCACTCAGAAAAATCCTAGCTCCAAGCCCAACCCTAACCCTAGCTCCAACACTAACCCTAACTCCAACCCTAACCCTAACCCTAACCCTAGCTCCAACCCTAACCCTAACCCTAACCCATGCATTCCTATGGGAAAAAATCTTTTTTTATAGGAACGTCCTAGAGACTCGGGAGTTGGTTCATTGCACTCAGAAAAATCCTAGCTCCAAGCCCAACCCTAACCCTAGCTCCAACACTAACCCTAACTCCAACCCTAACCCTAACCCTAACCCTAGCTCCAACCCTAACCCTAACCCTAAACCCATGCATTCCTATGGGAAAAAATCAAATTTTTTTAGGAACGTCCAAGGGACTCGGGAGTTGGTTCATTGCACTCAGAAAAATCCTAGCTCCAAGCTCAACCCTAACCCTAGCTCCAACACTAACCCTAACTCCAACCCTAACCCTAACCCTAACCCTAACCCTAACCCTAGCTCCAACCCTAACCCTAACCCTAACCCATGCATTCCTATGGGAAAAAATCAAATTTTTTTAGGAACGTCCTAGAGACTCGGGAGTTGGTTCAGTGCACTCAGAAAAATCCTAGCTCCAAGCCCAACCCTAACCCTAGCTCCAACACTAACCCTAACTCCAACCCTAACCCTAACCCTAACCCTAGCTCAAACTCTAACCCTAACCCTAACCCATGCATTCCTATGGGAAAAAAATCTAATTTTTTTAGGAACGTCCTAGAGACTCGGGAGTTGGTTCATTGCACTCAGAAAAATCCTAGCTCCAAGCCCAACCCTAACCCTAGCTCCAACACTAACCCTAACTCCAACCCTAACCCTAACCCTAACCCTAGCTCCAACCCTAACCCTAACCCTAACCCATGCATTCCTATGGGAAAAAATCTTTTTTTATAGGAACGTCCTAGAGACTCGGGAGTTGGTTCATTGCACTCAGAAAAATCCTAGCTCCAAGCCCAACCCTAACCCTAGCTCCAACACTAACCCTAACTCCAACCCTAACCCTAACCCTAACCCTAGCTCCAACCCTAACCCTAACCCTAACCCATGCATTCCTATGGGAAAAAAATCAAATTTTTTTAGGAACGTCCTAGAGACTCGGGAGTTGGTTCATTGCACTCAGAAAAATCCTAGCTCCAAGCCCAACCCTAACCCTAGCTCCAACACTAACCCTAACTCCAACCCTAACCCTAACCCTAGCTCCAACCCTAACCCTAACCCTAACCCTAACCCATGCATTCCTATGGGAAAAAATCAAATTTTTTTAGGAACGTCCTAGAGACTCGGGAGTTTGTTCATTGCACTCAGAAAAATCCTAGCTCCAAGCCCAACCCTAACCCTAGCTCCAACACTAACCCTAACTCCAACCCTAACCCTAACCCTAACCCTAGCTCCAACCCTAACCCTAACTCTTACCCATGCATTCCTATGGGAAAAAATCATTTTTTTAGGAACGTCCTAGAGACTCGGGAGTTGGTTCATTGCACTCAGAAAAATCCTAGCTCCAAGCCCAACCCTAACCCTAGCTCCAACACTAACCCTAACTCCAACCCTAACCCTAACCCTAACCCTAGCTCCAACCCTAACCCTAACCCTAACCCATGCATTCCTATGGGAAAAAATCAAATTTTTTTAGGAACGTCCTAGAGACTCGGGAGTTGGTTCATTGCACTCAGAAAAATCCTAGCTCCAAGCCCAACCCTAACCCTAGCTCCAACACTAACCCTAACTCCAACCCTAACCCTAACCCTAACCCTAGCTCCAACCCTAACCCTAACCCTTACCCATGCATTCCTATGGGAAAAAATCAAATTTTTTTAGGAACGTCCTAGAGACTCGGGAGTTGGTTCATTGCACTCAGAAAAATCCTAGCTCCAAGCCCAACCCTAACCCTAGCTCCAACACTAACCCTAACTCCAACCCTAACCCTAGCTCCAACCCTAACCCTAACCCTAACCCATGCATTCCTATGGGAAAAAATTCAAATTTTTTTAGGAACGTCCTAGAGACTCGGGAGTTGGTTCATTGCACTCAGAAAAATCCTAGCTCCAAGCCCAACCCTAACCCTAGCTCCAACACTAACCCTAACTCCAACCCTAACCCTAGCTCCAACCCTAACCCTAACTCTTACCCATGCATTCCTATGGGAAAAAATCAAATTTTTTTAGGAACGTCCTAGAGACTCGGGAGTTGCTTCATTGCACTCAGAAAAATCCTAGCTCCAAGCCCAACCCTAACCCTAGCTCCAACACTAACCCTAACTCCAACCCTAACCCTAACCCTAGCTCCAACCCCACACCTAACCCTAACCCTAGCTCCAACCTTAAACCTAATGGGGATTCCTTGTTGTTTGGACAGCCTTAGTAGCATCAATTTGTATGTCAGCAGTCTTTGATCACATGCAGGGATGTAAACAAATTTGGACTGAACTTATTGGCTGTAAATACAATCTTATCTTCTGCTGTCAAACATGAGATGATACGTAAGTTTTCTGTGAGTCTTTCTAAATGGACTACATGCGAGTGTAGCCGACAGAGAGCTCTAGCGTGGCCTCTAAATTTCATCTTGGCTGTCAGATTCATATTTAGACTACTGCAACAAATAAAAAAGCACTTTTGACCAAAGTATTTTTTTTTCCACCGATTGCGAAGCCCAGAAAAGTTGACTGCAAAGACTATTTAGTGAGCCACAGGGTTTTGGACCCCCACCAACTGAAAATGGCTGAATGGGTTATACGTTTTTATTTTACATGAGCTGATATTAACTTATTAAAAAGGAATGCTTAGCAGGGGAGAGGGAGAGGCTTCAAAACTGTTTGCAACAAATTATCCTGTTTGAAAATATACCGAAATGATCATCCTCAAAGAAATCCTGATAACTGGTGATGCTAAACGCAAGGAGCAAGTGGACCCTCCTTCCAGTGAATCAGAGCCATGATGCATAAAGAGGGGGTGTGTGGGGGACATATGTTTTGGTGAGTTAGTGCCAGTCGACACAGTGGAAGGGATCGTTTTCAAGTGGGTCACAGAGGCTGCAGGGACAGACATTTATCATACATGGCAGCAAAGCATTGTGTATGCATGTGTGCATGTGAATCTCTTCCTATTCTGTTGAGAGATAGAGAGAGAGAGAGACAGAGAGAGAGAGAGAGAGAGAGTTTTGCACATTATTGTAAGTGAAGCAGCTCTGACAGATGTTTCACTGGTTGAGAAGGGACTGTTTCTTCTCCTGCTCTCATTCTTCTAACCCCAGACTGAACAGAACAGAACTTACTGTTACTATCACTCTTCTTTGACTCATTACAGTATTTTAGGAATTACTTATTGTCATCATATTTTTATAACAGCTAAAACTTTATCTTCATTTCTGAAGTCCAAGATGAGCTCTAGACCAGTGGTTCTTAACTGGTGGGTTCTGACCCAAAACTGGGTCGCGGACATGTTCTGGATGGTTCGCAAACAGCTGGTCAATAAAGTAAATATGTAATGCGCATCTAATGTTTGACATGTCTTTTATTTTGAAAAGTAACTTATTTTGTGCAGTTTGATATTGATTTGATATTCGATATTTACTGTATATGCAACTTCAGTAGTTGTGGTCCTCATTTCATGTGCTCTGAAATGCACTTTACTCAATAAAATGAGTGTATTTGTGTTAAAAATTTGAGTCTTTAAAGTTTTTTTTTCAATAAAAAATAAATTTGCTTGGTCTGAATTCTATAAAAGTGGGTCGCCACTTCAGGACCATGGGAAAATGTGGGTTCCAGAGTAAGACCAGTTGAGAACCACTGCTCTAGACTGTCTACGTTGACAAGAAAAACTGTGACTGATAAGATACTTTGCCTCATTAAAAATGTTACCATGGCTACAAACGTAACAGTGTAAAAAGACTATCTTGTTTCATGATATTTTTGGGTACTCTCAAAACTCTCCTAACCCCAGGCTGGTACTTAAAGTGTGATTAATTGTTTATAGGTTTCTGTTAGTAAGGCCGACCCTTAGTTAGGATCAAAACAACATTACCATCATTAAAATAGGACCACAAGCATTTTGCAATCGTGGTCATCACCAAATTAGCCCACAGTTGTGTGAACAGTGAGTAATTGTGTTGGTGATCTTGTGCTCCATCAACCTTGAGTCTCCTTTTCCTTTGACTAACCTCTCTAAAACTTATTTTCTAGTTTTTCTCTGACATTGTGGGATTTCATCCACACAGACAAACAAACCAGCGAGGCAGAGTCATGATGTGCACTAAGGGGTGGAGGTTGTTATTGTCCTTGATTCTGAAATTATGTATCAGGAATTGGGAGATGTGTGTGTGTGTGTGTGTGTGTGTGTGTGTGTGTGTGTGTGTGTGTGTGTGTGTGTGTGTGTGTGTGTGTGTGTTGGGAAATAATATTAAGCCAGAATTCCCATAACAGCCCCCCGTTAATACATGTGCAATGTTATTTCTTTGTTCGACTCTATCGTGCAACGGCCTCATATTTTTTCCATTTTCTCCATCTCTGCTTAACAAATTTGTCCTTGTCAAAAAACAGCCAGAGGTCAGCTAATATACGGATAATATATGTCTACCCTTAAATTATCTTTACAAAAGTTTATCAGACATGCTGTTTTATCTTGGCACAGTTCTCAAATGCTCTATTTGATTTTTGATTGTCTGTAAATTAAAGTTTGTTGCAGAACATCCCATTAACTTGAGGAATATGTTTGTCACTTTACAAAAGAGTAAAACAAATCATCTAGGAAAGAAGCCGTGACTTGAATAGACGGAAAATAGTTAAAAAATGTTTCAACTCAAAACACAACCAAATCATTGCATAATGTTTTTGTATGATGGCTTCGTTGAGTGCAGTAACAAATCAATGACGCTGGCATTTGTCTTCCCATGTCACTTTTTTCATTATGTTGAGCAAAGTCTACAACCAGTTTTCAAGCAGCTGTGTAGCACTTATTGCACCATTGTACAATTGTAAAATTCAGCTTGCATTAATGTCAAATGTCAAAAGTAATGCAGCTGCACTGGTGATCACGTCACAGCCCATGTCTATAGCTGCGTCCGAATTGCCAAGTAGTAGTCAAAGTAGTAGTCGAAGTAGTATCTAGCATGTCCGAATTGGCCACCGGAGCGAGTAGCATGCTACTTCAGATACTACTTCAGATGCTAGACACGCCCACATTGTAGGTTGGTCTCGGTGCATCCTACGGGCATGCTACTGACCCAAAATGCACCACGGGCTTCTTCTTCGTCCTCTTAAAAGTTGTAGAAGCGCATGTGATGCTAGCGCCACCAGCTGCTCTGCCTATTTAAAAGTGTCGCGAACGCCGGCTGGACACAGCAGCGCGCACCATGTCGGAGCAGCAGCAGCAGCAGGCGGGACCGCAGCAGTACAGATGTAAGTTTCATGTAACGTCACACACTGTCCTAAAAAATGTGCGGTTGTATCTCTTTGTCATGTCATGGTGTCATATTTGCCCAAGTAATCATTTTATGAGCAAATATGTGGCGACATCATGGAGGTAAAGCTCACTTATTCCATCATTAAACTGCACAGCTGCAGTACTACAGCCAGGCCCGCAGATGAGGAGCTTCAGTTACCACTGTCTGCACGGGCGCAGTACCTACTCTCTGCCTGCGGGGGTCGTCTTTCCCCACCGCTCGTCTAGTGTGTCCGAATTGGGCCAACGTTTTTAGTATGTAGGAGTAGGATCTAGCAGTAGCACGTAGCAGTAGCATGTAGTATCCGAGCGGGCAGTTCGGACGCAGCATATGACAAAGCTTGAATGTGGCGCCATCTTCTGGGTAAAATGCTACAACATGGCAACCTACTTTTTGCTGCATTTTGTATTGGCATATTGGTCAAACCATGACTATTCAACATTACAAGCCCTTGAACAATCGTCCTGCTTTAATTTTTTAATCTTCCTGTCTTGAGTTTAGGTTGTTTCAAGTCCCACTCCAATAGTTGTTGTTGATGATTTGTTTTACTATTTTTAGTGTTCTCAGTGGTCTATAAATTGTGATTATGAAGTTTTTCCGCCAAAATCACGTTACCTGTGTCATTTTCAAGGGCTTTTCCTCTGCGGAGCTCTAGTAGCTGATTAGCAATTCACCTCTGAGTCGTGGGCAGGGACAGCGCTGCTCTACACATATCTCTTTATACTAGCTTGCAGCCTAACATTGCTGGTGTAGTAGAAATGGCAAGTAATATAGGAGCTATTCAGCTCTCAGACTCAAATGTCTTTGGGGGCACGATCAAAACTAATATTATATTTAGCATTGCAAACCACTAAAGCATATGCTGGTTCCACATTTGTCCTTTCTACTTCTTGGGGTCTGGCCTGCAGAGGGGGTGCCGGGGACGGAGCTTGGACTTGTGATGTAGGAAATCTCACTGTGTCTGAACCTGTTGTTTGGGTCGATGAGAGGTTCACAACAATTTGAATGCAGAAATACTCAGAAATGCAATTTTGCTCTTAGTTTTCTCATGATATGTCCTGTAGCATCAGAAAAATTCCATATGAACATAAAGACAACAAGAAAAGCATGATTTTCTTCAAAGTTGGTCTTAAAGTTCCTGTCTGGTCAACGCTTGTCTTTTGAAGTATACTACTCCTGCTTGTAGGGCCATATAATAGTGTCCGGTGAATTGTTTGATAAGGAAATGAAATGTTGCACTCAAAGGCTGCGTGGTCAACGTCACTCTGTCTCAATTTAGCAATAACAAGTAAGGCTGTGCTGTCTTGTGAGTCATAAAAGGACAAAAAGATAAGCACTTTGAATGCACTGATAATGCAGAAAGACTTCAGAGTAGAAGAGAAGGGAAAAAAAGAAACCAGAGTAAAAAGTCCTTTGAGACTCCTAATCAATGTAAAAATGTGAAAAATTATACTCAGATGAAACATAAAACATTTCCCCCAAAACAATTGCAACAGCAGTAATGTGATATTGTGTGCTTAACATGTCACGTAATCGTTTCATGGTATTTTATCAAATCAGAGAAAGAAACCGTGTTTAAGCAGGTTCTTGGCATAGTCTTTAGTTGGTGCCCACAATGCAATGCCAGACGGGCTCAATACAAATGAACAAGGCTGCTTCCATCCAGTTAAAAGTTCCAATACTCATAAGGTAAACAAGTCAAGCTCAATTAAAGCTCACTCCTTTCTTTCCTGCCTGACTTCTCTGCTTTCTGACTTTGTTCTCTCTGTGCCTCTGCCCTCCTTTTTCTCTCTTTATTTTCTATCAGGGAACATATAGAGTCAGTAGCTGTGGCAGACGTCCCCTGTGTCATGCTATCATTCTCACTTCCTGCTGTACTTCAAATGAACTGCTCTGTAGGTAACACTGGTCAGGAGCCAAGAGTCACACTAAGGTATCCAGAAAAAAAATAATGAAAACCCTGTGACACTAAATACAAGTGTGTGGGTGTACCTGTGGAGTGTACGCTTGTTTTTGTTTTCCCAAACGGACTGTTACAGGTAGATAGAGCTGCAAGAGGGAGCAGAGGCATAAAAGAGCTGCACCTGAAGGGTAGAAGACACCAGGCCATGCCGTGATTCAAGGTGCCTGACTAGGGTAAACACACTACAGTGGCCTAAACCATTTCTTTTGGGAGATATGCTGCAGATTCAGATGTTATGGAAATTTAGAAACAGGTGCAGAGAAAACAGAATGAGCTGCAAATAAAAAGATTGAACTACTGAGGCCCTTAGATGTTTAGATGAATTAACAAAAAATGACTGCAAATTCTGTCTTTTCATCGGGAGCGCTCCAAAACCGTGAGCAGGGCTCCAACATGGACAGAAGAGAGGGAACAAATGTGATCTAAAGCTCTTGTTGTGGTTTGACACATCAGTACTTAGAGATGGACATGAGGAAGAGATAAGCGATAATAAGTAGCTACTTTAAGAGCAACATGTAGTTGATTTACATGGAGACTGTTACGCCCCAGTCTAGGGGTGCCTAGGGCACAACATGAGAAGGCCTCATCATCCCCAAGTCCCAAGTAGCCACAACAACCGAGATTTCAGCTCAATTTTAAAACACAGATTTATTTACATAATTCAGGAAATAACAAAAGATAGACAAAGGAACTAAGGCTGGATGACTAGACTTCAGGGTGGACCAAGGCCAAAACAACAACCAAAACGATCCTGTCTGTAGAGTAATGCTAACCTAACCAAAACAAAGGAAACAAATGACAAAGACTTACCTCCCTAACTAAAATATACAGGAGAAAATAATGTTAACAAAACTGGCAGTCCACCCCTACTACTGAAGGAAAACAGAACACAATACACCATAGTCTTTAAGCTGCAAAATAGGGTGGCCGGATGGGAGAGGAGGAGGATGAGGAACGCCTGGCCTCTGCACATGGCGGCTGCCATCTTGGTTCTTGATATAGCTGGTCTCGGCCAATCACCATACAGGGCGTAGTCCATCCCACCAATGACCGCGTTGCTGTGGCACACACCTATTTGCATACAAGATTGACACAGAGAAAACACAGAGCACACACACCCAGCAGACACTCAACCAATTATGACCCCAGTCATAACACCCCCACACCCAAGAATTAAACATCCCCCTAAATGTTTAATTTCTACGGATCTGAGGAACACCGCGACAAAGCGTCTGCTATTACATTTTCTATGAGGAGTTTCACGCACGGCAAATAACAGAAGAACGAGACCCTCATCCCACTCTCTGTAGGACTCAAGGCAGTATTTGAGCATCATGGATTTTAACCCAGGCCAAAAGAAATTGCGCAACACACGATGATATGTCTTTTTAACACCGAGGTGGCCAGCTAAGCTGGAGTCATGTGCCAGACTCAAAATTTGCGCTTGATAGTCTGTTGGCACAACCACCTGATTAACAACGGGTATCTCCCTGGAGTCGGGACTCCACCGTCTCATCAAGACACCGTTGTCCACGAAAAACACACAAGTCTGGCTGTCGTCCTCGGCGGCTACAACAGAGGACAGACACAAATTTAGAGACGGATCATTTCTCTGAGCATTTATCAACATCTCTCGGGTCACGTTTAAACTCAAGTCTGCGTCAGCAGGAAACACATCAGGCTCAGAGACACAATTTGATACATTTTCACACTCAGTAGCGGGGGACACTGAAAAGGAGGGCTCACCCTCATCTAACGTAGCCATAAACGAATTACATAAATCCCCAGCTTTACCCCATTTACGAGCCTGTGCGCGCGTAACTGCGCACACAGGAAACACATTTGGCACAGACACAGCAGAAGAAACAGAGGTGGGGCAGCAGGCAGACGCAACCGAAATGGGATCGTTAACGACCTCTGGCAGAGGAAACACATTTCCTCCGGCCAGATCGTTACCCAAAATAAACGAAATGCCACTAATCGGAAACCGTGGGAGCACGGCAACTTTCACACGCCCCGACGCGAGCGGTGAATGCAAGTGAATCATGTGAAGTGGGGCGTTAAGTTCGCTCATTTTAATTCCCCACACTAACAAATCAGAGAAACATGAAGTTTCATTTGAGAGTGGCAGAACACTAGCCAGAATGAATGAATGATAGGCGGCTGTATCTCGGAGAATAGTTACCGGTACTTTATCCGCTTCCTCGCCAGTTACAGAAACAAATCCTTGCGAAACGAACGGTTTGAAACGAGGGTCAACCTCCACATTTACCTCGGCTTCAGGTAAAGACTCCGGGAGTGTTACAGGCGGGGACACGGTGTTAATGAAACCCACACCTGCAGGAGGTTTACCGTTTTTGTGTTGTCCTTTTTTTCTAAGAGTCGGACATGCAGCGATCAAATGGCCTGGCTCGTGGCAATAAAAACACTCGCGGCTCTCACCCGCAGCTGGTGAGGTGCTTTTACGCATCAGCTTTGGCGATCGGTTTCTGCGCTCAGACATTGGATGTAAAACACGAGGGGTTGGCAAAGAAAAAACGCTTTTATGAGTCAAAATGAACTCATCGGCGAGCACAGCTGCTTTCGTTACCGATGACTCCTTTTGCTCATTCAAATATACGACAATTCGCTCCGGCAAACACTTTTTAAATTCCTCGAGCAAAATGAGCTCTCTCATTTCCGCCATAGTTTTAATATTACACGCGTGGCACCATTTATCAAACAGAACGCTCTTGTCACGCACAAATTCAACATAGGTCTGGTTGGAAGTTTTCTCACTATTTCTAAATTTTTGCCGATAGGCTTCAGGGACCAGCTCGTAGGCCTGCAACACAGTCTTTTTCAAGATTTTATAATCAAGACTATCCTCGATAGACAGACTGGCACAGACTTCTTGAGCTTTCCCCACTAATTTACACTGGAGGAGAAGGGACCAGAACTCTTTAGGCCAACTCAGGGCAGCAGCTATCCGCTCGAAAGCGCTAAAATACGAGTCCACCTCGGACTCACGAAACGGAGGGACTAAAGCAATGTGCTTACTTATGTCAAAAGCGGGAGCAGAAACAGAGCTGCGGTCAACAGGAGGCACTGGGGTAGAGGCTACAAAGGCTCCTTTTTCCAGCTCGAGAACCCTTAAGCGTAGATGCAAGGCTTGTACCTCTAGCTGTTTGTTTCGGGTCTCGGCCTCCTTTGCTTGTACCTCTAGCTGTTTGTTTCGGGTCTCTGCCTCCTTTATTTGGAGTGCTATGCGGAGATCCTCTGTGGTCATGGTACCCATGAGAGGATCCGTGACCGGCCCAAGTTCCGCACCAGCAGCGAGCGTGCCAGCAGCCCCCGCCGCTTTCACCTCAGCCCCCGGTGCGACACTAGCCACATCACCCGCATCAAGCGCTGGTTTAGGTAAGACGCCCTGCTCCACCAACTGTGCACACAGCAACTGTTTGAGCTCTGCTTTGTTGACATTGTATGGTACTTTTACATTAAAGAAATTTGCCACAATCAACAGGTCTGCTTTTTTACACTTTTCAATTTTAGCAACAGAGGGACTGGCCATAAAATCATCCAGTGAAAAATCCATAATTCCCCCCACACACAAAAAAAACTACCAACCAGAAAAACACATACTCACCGAAGAAAACGCGACAAGAAGACGGACGAGCCCCCAATTCATGTTACACCCCAGTCTAGGGGTGCCTAGGGCACAACATGAGAAGGCCTCATCATCCCCAAGTCCCAAGTAGCCACAACAACCGAGATTTCAGCTCAATTTTAAAACACAGATTTATTTACATAATTCAGGAAATATCAAAAGATAGACAAAGGAACTAAGGCTGGATGACTAGACTTCAGGGTGGACCAAGGCCAAAACAACAACCAAAACGATCCTGTCTGTAGAGTAATGCTAACCTAACCAAAACAAAGGAAACAAATGACAAAGACTTACCTCCCTAACTAAAATATACAGGAGAAAATAATGTTAACAAAACTGGCAGTCCACCCCTACTACTGAAGGAAAACAGAACACAATACACCATAGTCTTTAAGCTGCAAAATAGGGTGGCCGGTTAGGAGAGGAGGAGGATGAGGAACGCCTGGCCTCTGCACATGGCGGCTGCCATCTTGGTTCTTGATATAGCTGGTCTCGGCCAATCACCATACAGGGCGTAGTCCATCCCACCAATGACCGCGTTGCTGTGGCACACACCTATTTGCATACAAGATTGACACAGAGAAAACACAGAGCACACACACCCAGCAGACACTCAACCAATTATGACCCCAGTCATAACAAGACCCAAGTGAATCACTGTAAAGGGAAAGTTATTTTGAAGAAAAGTTGATAGTCAGTGATAAGACACAGCTTAAGACAAATGACACATATGATACCAGACACACTGCACTTCTGCTGCGCCGCTGAGCAGAAAGAGGTAAAGGAAGTGTTATTTAATGTGGTGTTAGTACAGCTCTATGCCTCATAGTCCTCCCTAACATCTGCGTCATCACAGTCCTTGCTGTTATCCTCAAGAAATAACAAAGCAGCTAACACAGACAGAAGACTGAGCAGATGTTGCTTACGTGGAAATCATTCCTCTCTTTATCAGGCATCACACATCAGTCATTTTCTATTCTTCAGATAAAGTGCTCCAGGTTGACTCAAATTTATTTTATGACATTTTGATAATCTAAGGGTGTTATTTTATCGCCATCAGGCCAACGGCGATGATAGGAATTAAAAAAATAAGTCACTGTAACATAAAAATGGTCATTATCCACAGACACATCACTTCATATAAAGGACATGCCATGTCATTGAAACACTTAAAGAACTGAAGAAGAAAAGAGAAAATGTCAAATCATTGCACAACATGGAAACAGAACCTCTGATCACAATTAATGGGAAAGGTTGTACAGCGCTTCCTTCTGCTGCAGTGGAAAATTGACAAAGAAGTTAATTAAAAATGCATGGCACCAAAATTGAAAACAGAGTTTGGCATTCGTAATATACCTGTCTCATGTGTATTTATGACTTCAGATTATGAAGCTTAAATTCCTAAAATAAGGGTGTTTTGAAAATCACTTGAAGGTAACATTTTATGCTAATTTTCTTCTGATTGGCAGCAGAAAAAAGAATAAAAAAATAGAAATAATGAGGTAAATAATGAGGGTTTAGACTGACAGTGGGTTTGTTTGGCATCAAAATTATTTGATTATGTAAATCAAACTATTTGGAGCAGTTTGATGAAAATAAAAAAACAAAATGTAAAAATATCTGTTGACTTTATATTTTGGAAATAGATTAGAGGTGAGTTATTGTTTTAAAAACTTGACTTAAAGTTTGACTGAGAGCAAGCAAGTCTGGACTAAAACCTTCTAGACTGAGAACTGATATATGAAATCATTCAGCAACTACTTCATATCTTTAAAAAAACTACATTGTGGAGAGTAACTCTCCAGTTGTTGGTTGAAAAGGTATGGAAGTATATTGCTGCCACTCAGGAATATAAGAATATGGATCAGTTTGACATTATTATTATTATCATATCATTTGACTATATCAAAGTTGTGATGTTCAAATGATATATCTTTCAGCCCGAGAGGCCATCATCTTTTGGCCTCATAACAGTTCTGCGGAAACTGATTGCAGAAAACTCTAAGTTTGTGGATGTCACTGACTATAAAGTCTACGGCTGACATTGACCAAGCAGTCTGCTGGTCAAGAGTCAGTCCCCCTCTGCAGAAGCTCCTTTGACTGGGCAGCCAAATTGAGGATTCTTTGTTGATCAGACAGTCCAGTCAGTGGTTGTGAAGTAAATCCCCTTCTGCTTATGATGCTGTTTTGTCGCTGACCTCTGCCCTCCTTCAGAGTAACCATGATCTCCTTTATGGCACGAGACCATGCTTTCTTGAATCATAATTCCTCTAGATTTTTGGAGCTTTACCCGAGCACCACAGCATGGTAAACAGGACAGGCTTAGAATTGGCGTGACTGCAGCATTGAAAAAGGAGATTGTACTTCCGAGCTGTAATGTGTTTTTCAAACTGGCTGTATTGACTCGTTTTTAATTTGAAATGTGTCCCACACTCCGCACACTTGTCTTGACAGTGACTTCCACTGGGAATTACAGTTTGGTTTATTGAGTCTAGGGGATTTATTTTGGATTTATGTTTATTTTGAAATTCTTTCTACAGCCCATACTCTCTACCGGATCAAGTCTGTGCAACAGGGAATACCAGGTTTGATTTGTGATCAGTGCTGTTGTTTGGCATGCATCTACCACACCCCACAGAGACAATCTGATGGGAGAGAGAGAAAGTGATTAATGAAGTTCCTTAACAGGTACACTTTCAAAGGATTGTCAAGCTGGGCTGCATGGTGGAGATCAGTCTGTTCCCTTGGTTTGTTTTTTCTGAGTATATTTGTCCATGCTGCAAAAACCTGGAAAGTGAAGAGACATCACGATTATCTGTAAATCTCCATTAACCCTGTAAGACCCAGTGTTGCAGAATTACAACAATTTTGGTTATCCCAAAAAAACCTCTAATTTTTTCTTTTTTTTTTTTAGTTCAACCACATTAGCATGATCATTGGGTCCTATTGTTTGTTCTCACAATGCGATTTGATCCAACATTGTATATAAGGCCCACCCTCAGGTGAAGAAGTCACACAACCTCCATTTTTTTGATCGAGCAACATCCTTTCGATTTACTGGACTGGATTCATCTGATTCAAGTAAGTAAAATGCTTTGAATATTTTTTTTGTGTTTATTACAATGTCTAGAACATGAACAACATTTCTGTAAAAACTTATTCAAACATAACATTTTTGAAAACACTCCATTTTCACCCCTAAAGGCCTCCTACAACAACATCTGAATGGTTGAAAAAAATCTTCTTTTGTGTTTTTCTATATTTGGGTTTTACAGGGTTAATTTAAACAGGGGAGTGATGTTTGTTTCCTCACAAGAAAAGAAAGATTCTGAGTTTGTACATTTTCCCTTTTGAACCAAAACAGAGCACCTTGGATATTGCAAATTTTAAGGACACAGGCATCTCATTTATGCATCAGATATCTTATCACAGGGACAACTCATATTTTATGTGTCTACAAAAGCTGAATCGTGTCTTTGATACATTTCAAAACAGTGCCATGAGGTGAAAAATTGTGTAGTTGAAAGGGTTTCAAAGATGAAAAACCAAGAATGTCATTGAGATTATTTCACTTAAATAAGAGTCCAGCTGTGACCCATAGAGACAGAAGTCAAGTATTTTAACTCTCTGCTGAACCAGCTTCAACAATTTGCCTCCGACAGTCTTTCACCTTTCTTCAGTGAAATCTAAAAATGCCTGAGCATATATTAAACACATTATAATATCATAAACATGTAGTTTTTTCCTCTAATAACAAGTGCTGGAACAGTCAAAGGGACTCACCCACACAGTTGGCAAGTGTTACATTCATTTCTACCTTTGGGATTGTCTAGCATTGTAACAACACATATCTTTTGTTGGGTATTGTGTTTTCAATTGAGTTTAACCAATATAGTGTAATGTTTGCAGACAGAAAGAGTCTAACTCATAGCCATTATGTATTTGTTTTATAGTTTCACAAAAGTACGATTATTTACAAATATCCAAAAACTTATCTCCTTTACGCTAAACGAGAAATGTCAGCTACATCCTAGTCATAAATACGAGCTAGCCATTGATTTCTGAAGCAGATGTCTAAAGCTTATTGATAGGAGTTTCCATATTATCAGAACTGACTTGAGGACCCAAAAAGACACTTGCTTCTTCGCCAAGTAACATCAACCATGCCCCCAGTGATGCAAAACCTAAGACCTCTTGTAACATCATCTTCAAGCCATATGAAATTTTACCCCCATACAGTGTGAGCTGATAGAGAGTGTGACATTGAGACCAAAACCTTTTTTGAACCATTTTTGTTTGTATCTTAAATCTGGTCTTTTTTTTTTTTTTTTAATGGTTAAGTATTTGAACTTTGGGGCTTCTGGAGCCAGCCTTATGTAGACACCTGAAGAGAAAAAAAAAGATTAAGACTTAGCCATATCTTCCACAGAAGAAGTAGAAAACATTGCATTTATTTTTCTTGCATTTGTGATTAAAACAACCACCGCAGCATAGTTTGAACCAAAGGCAAAATTGCACTTTTCATCTGCACATTAGTAATACAGTGTTGTGTCACAGCCCTGCTTCTCTACTCAGCCACCCTCACAAGGTATTTTTCCACTCCACTCTACCTACCTGCTACGTCCACC